AATATGTTACCGTTTGGAGAAATAATGTTATTGGTTATTGGAAATGTAACATAACCGCTGCGCACCTCGCGGCGCCTCTGTCACTCGACACATATTATGGTGCATTGGGTATTGTTTACAAAAAACGTTATTTATAACTCTACATCAGCGGGAGTGACTCTTGAGTGGTTTTATGGTTTTTAAAGGAATGAATGAATCTTTATTTCTGTACAAGTGCTTTTAAAGTTTGTTTGCTCAAATAAAGTAATTAATTTTGCAATAAATATGGCACTTACGACTAAAATTTTGATATCGGCATTAAGAGTACTTATGAAATACTTTATCGGATTTCTAAAACTTAGCAAGACCTATTGAAAGATGACTGAATCATGTAAAGAAAAAGAGAGATTCAAGACTGAATCATTGTAATGAAATAAAAAAAAACTATTTTTATTGACTAAAGCATTATGCCGCATTATGCCGCATCTGGTCCGAACTACATGCTCCATCGGTGTAAATTGATTGTGGGTTCTTGTAAGCTTATTATTAATGCGTTTTATGATAAAAAATTGTATTGTAGCCTATGATTTTGCACATAAAATATTGTAAACAATAGATGTAAGATTAAAATAAAATAAAATTGAACTATTAAAAAACTTTGTGTCATTGAGAAATATGATAGTTTTGACTTTATTCTATATTTAGTTATACTAACCACTTTAAACTTTATTAAATATATGTACTCGTTTACAGGAAATTTCATAGAGAATTCAGAAATGTATACATATTATAGTATTCGATATACCAAAATCAAGATATTTGTTTTTAAACGGATTGGGCCCAATCAGCAGTCCATTTTATTAAACAGCTCCGCAGTCAACGGAGAATTATGGTTAGAGTCTCCGCAGCTGAAAGGATATACAGATAACAGAGGTGTTTTTATCGTGATTATTGTACAGTGTAATATACTCATCTAAGAGTATGTGTAATCTTATACGAACACATGCATACATGAAATCATATACATACCTGAGATCATATAATGTCTAAGACAAAAACATAATGGTATAGACAAAAAGCCATTACGGGTAAACGTGACATATCATTTTCAAAAATGTTAATAAGACTTGATGTTTTTTTTAATATAAAAATCACAAAAAGAGACGAAAAATATATAATTATATTTAACTGAATAGTATTTGTTACGAAAACATAACCTTTTTAACGTAACACATACAATGCCGAAATGTAATTACCTATTCAAATTGTATTTATTCACACCAATTTTCGGTTTATTTGGCTACTATTTATGTTACTTTTATACATGGTATGAACAAATTAATAATTTGAACGAGAAATACAAAATGATAAAATGTTAAATTCTCAGTAGTTACCTTATAATCATCCGATATAACAATTCCCTGTTTTTCACCACATTCCTGGTGTCAACATCACCATTATTTTCCTTCATTGTTATACAAAACTTAAGGAAATACAAGAAAAACTCTAAGAAATATTCTCAGACCGGCAGCTCAAGTTGTTGACTTCAGTTGACTGTAGTCAAGAGTCCTTTTTCAGTATATACAAAGGTACTCTGTTACTTTGTATAAACTGACTGTAGTTTGATAAAAACAAATCTGAAAAACGGAAACACAACACAACCAGCAACCACAGACAAGAAATATAGTAGATATCTTTTTTTTTATTAACGAAAATATGAACAAGACGTTTGGATTTGACTTTTGTCTTTACTTTGTTTATGATTGAGGTTTTTTATACTATTAATCAATTAACGCGTTCCCAATTTTAAAACTGGTTATTATTTAAATATAAATACTGTAAATAGCTATTTATATTTAAATAAATAGTATTTAAGTATATATCAACTTTTTCAACGTTACTGGTTTCATACGTCCAAGCGGTGAGAGTCTGAACTAAGCCCATACTAACGCAAATCAATAATGTAGAACATGCGCAATAGAATTTTGCCGGTTCATTTAATACTTTGCCCTAGAGTAAGGATTGTTCTCTGTTGCGCTCCAACGAAGGAGGTTCGTTGAACTGCAAGATCGCAACGGACGCCAATCCTTTTTTTTAGGATAGGGTGACAAACGAGCACACAGTCCACCTGATCGTAAGTGGTTGCTGTGACCCATAGACATCTACATCTATTCTCAACCACGAATCCAAATGCATATGAGTTGTCACCCGTGAGGACTAAGATGGAATGCCACGTTTCCAGTAAAAAGGGTCTCCGGTTCACTACACTCACCATACGAAACAGCAGCATTATGCTACTATTTTATGCTGGTATTCTGTGAGAGCGTGGTCCTGCCCCAGTCGAGCCAACCCATTCGTGCTACAATTATACTATTAATATAACTACAGCATGGCTCTACCACGTAAAATGTCTTCTAAGGAATAGGTCATATTTTCCCATGATCAACTCTACGTAGCTTAGTTAGCATAATTCAAGAGTCAAAAATCTGAAAGTTTACGATGAACGAAACAAATACTTTTAGTATAGTCTATAGAAGTTTATTGAGAAAGAACATTCTAGAACTATTATAGTCTTTGCGTTATAGTTACAGTTACTTTGCGTTATAGCAGTTGACAGCGTACAGTTTGGCTGTCTAGAGATGAATAATGTTAAATTGATTTAAAAAGGCGAATAATGATACACAAAATAAAGCAAAAGTTATCGATTAGCTATCGATATAAAAAGTAAAACCTATATTCTTTCTTTATAAACTACATGCTTTACTTTACTAATGCATGTAAAATTAAGTTAAAATAGTTTCTGTAGTAAAAATGTATTCGGATTTTAATGAAACGCGAGCAAAGCTACGGGTAAAAGCTAATCTATCTACACAAATAAATAAAATTGAAGTGTCTGTTTGTAATATCGAAATAGCTGCCGTATGTTGGGCTAAGCGTTTTATTTACATGCCATTACGCTATTTTATAAATTTTGTTTGTTTGTCTATCTCTCTATCCAGACTAATCTTCGGAATACTTGAACCGATTGTAATTATAGTCTTATATTTATAGTGTGTATATTTAAATGTATTGTGTATGTATGTATTTTTATATATGTATATATTTATATATGTGCAGTTTATTTATGTAAAATGTTTGCACCTGCCAACAATTGTCCTTGGCACCCAGGGTTGACTGGCAGAGAATGTCACATGGCATTAAGTCCGCCCTATGTACCCTTTAGCTTAACGTGTAAGTTTTAAATAAATAAATAAAATTAAACTTCTTGAACGGATGTAGAGAAATGCGTAAGTGAGTAAGGGTATATTTTCTTTCCAAAAATAATTCTCAAAAAAACCTGATAAAATCATCTTAAATCCAAAAAAGCACCACATTAATAAATCTTACCTAAGCGAAACCCGGGTGGGTTATATTTATAACTAACCGTTGTTATAAATATAAAAGTATTGTATTTAGAACAATTAAGAAAGGACTGATAAGAATAAAGTATAAAATAAACGCAATTCTATAAGTAAATTCTATCACTTAAATAATATTCATTACAATAAGTTACTAATATGTCATTATTTATATATTTATATAGTTTATAAATTATAACATTATGGTAACATTTTCTATCACTGTTTGGACTATCCATGACCATGAAGGTTAGAGAACAGTACTACGTACTAAAGCATAACCCGCCTGTCCTTAAAATTGTAGAATTTATAGCGGCGCTGACGTCGGTGAGAAGTGACTGCGAAGTTAGCTGTTTATGAGTACAAGTAGATGAAGTTAGTTGAATAATGTACAAATTTTCTCCGCGGCTTTGGTGAGAAAATTTTTATGCTCGGTAATTTTGTAATTTTTGACAAAAAGAAACATTTAAAAAATGGAGAAATATTTTATTGTGCGTGGATGTGCAAGTGGTTTAGCATCTGATCGGAAAAAAACACTGAAAATAACTTTTATTGACCAAACTTAGCGATCGCAGCGCCTCACTTATGGTGTCCATATTTCTTGGACACTATTTTCTACGGTGATCGTTCTCCTGCTCTCTAACCTTCATGATCAATGACGTTAACTTCACAAAACAGCTATTTTTGAGATGTTTGTGCTTTTAACCTATGCGGCTCTTACAGCTTTATCTGACTCAGAACTAATTAAAAAGGGAAAGGCAATGAAGATGAGGATGAGGATGATGATGATGATGATGATGGTTTATGATTCGGTATTGTTACGAATCATCATGTCGCCTCGTAGGTCATTTTTGAGCTGTCTAACCGCTGTCCGAGTGGGGGAGTGCGAATCCCCGCCTCTGACTGCTCAGCTCGTGTCGGTCGATGGTGATTCTCACCTCCCAGGTACTCGGGTGTACGGTGTGTATGCGGTGTGTGCTGGAACGCTGGCACCCCATCAGTTATTCTACTGGTGCTTGTCCCATTTTGTGTGGGTGTAGTGTCATTGACTCCACAAAATAATGTAAGGTCTCCCCCCAAGTATGTTGCCCTTAATGGAGAGAGGCCAACGCTGCTTATATATGTATACTGTATATCCTTGACTGCCTGGTTGGACTAGTAGTCGCAAGAGCGACTGTTCATGAAGTTCCACGTCGGGCTAAAAAAATCGCTTTTTTGTCAAGAAAATCGCAGTGGCAGCCCGGAGTCAGGAACTTTGCGGTGTTTCTCCCCCTGCCTCGGAAACTACGTAAAGGCATTTGTCCTGCCCTTAATATCCCTCCGGTCGTATCGGATAACCGTTCCGTCGACTATGAGAGTAGGGAATAGAGAGAGCACCTGTGTTTGCGTATACACTCGTGCACTATAATTCTGCTCTGCGCAGATGCCTAGTCGGCTGCCATGACCGAACTTAGGTCTCGAGGATATTATTATAATTACATGCATACGGAGCTCTTCGGAAGCTTTTCAAGCGTGATTTATACTCTATCGCCTAATACCTGTATTTTCTAATAGAAGGGATGGAAGTTCGCCGCCTCATAATCACATCTCTGATCATTTTATTCTATAGGTCCTCCTCACAGGATGCCGGTGCGTCGAGCTGGATTGCTGGGATGGCGACGATGGCAGTCCTGTTATTTATCACGGGCATACCTTCACCACCAAAATACCGTTCAGACGGGTCGTGGAGACTATAGCCAGGTAAGGTTACGTCTTTATTACATCTTACGGCGACAGTTGACTAGTGGCAGGGAGCGGACCGCGAACTCAATTGCTCGTGGTTTCGAATCCGGCATTCGATTTCTGTCGTGAACCACTCTTAACAAAAGCATTATAAGCTTACCGGGAGTGGTTACAGGGAATATTGGTAATGTTAATAGCATTGCTTGTATTTATATCAAAAACCGCTGAACACGTGCTTTCATACATACGGATTGGTCATCCTTATGATTCTTCCCAAAGTCACCTCTTACGTGGTAGAACCACGCTGCAACTATATTATAGGTGCGCCAGGGACAGACGCGTGCGTTGCGTTGCCTATGGGTAATCGCTTATTGATTCCCTAGAAGGATGAAGAATAGAGGTTATAAATGGTGTTTTATATAGTAGTTTAAATAGTAAAGTTGGAAGGAGGTAGGCTTATAATTTGTCATGCTGGATGTTCCAATTATGGATTTTAGCAATATGAGCGCCTTGTCATTAGCGTAGACTTGGACGAAGTTTAATTATTGTGTACCTATTTTAAATTTTTATTCATTTTATTTAGTCTAAGTATATATTTTCTACTAATAATAAACGTAATTATTGAATATTATTCTTTTTATTTTGCATTCATCACTTTTTCATAATATACACATCGACACGACAATGGTGCGCCACTATGCCTGCCGTAAAGCCCGTAAGTGCGATAGAGTGCGCAATAGGCGACGTCCTGTTGCCCTATTTCATTGCACTGCGAGCAGCGAGTGTTTAACATTAGTATAGCATATAATTATGTATTGTTCGAATCAAATACATAAACTGGAATTAAACGAGTTATGGTACCTACACCGAGACGCCGATTTTCAATGATGACCAAAGCATATTTTCCACAGGAGTGCCTTCGTGGCTTCTCCATACCCCCTGATCCTCAGCATCGAAAACCATTGCAGTCTGCCGCAGCAGCAAGTGATGGCTAGTACTTTTGAGGTCAGTCCATGCACACATTTATATTACCTGTATATTAATTAGTGTTGCCGAATAAAGTAACAGACGTGATCATTTCTGACAGTGTTGCCTGTCACCAGTCTGGGTATTTAACATCTGGTGTATACCAACGGTACAATAATATGAATTGGCAATAGACTGACCTTATAAAACCGCTCGAAGAACTGACAACCGATGGGGAAGAAAGTTTTAGTACCTAAGTCCTTTGTGTCCCAGTGTAATTAAAATTATTTTCTTATAAAATTGAACTGACTACTGATATTTCAAGATGGAGGTGACGACGTGGTAAGAGATGCAGGAAGTCGATGGACGCAGGTGACTCGGGACCAAGCTTTTTAGTGTTTTATTTTTAATAGAATATGGGTGACAAATGCGCTCACATTCCATCTGAAGGTAAGTTGTTGCTATGACCTATGAAAATTCAGACGCGTTTATACCCCTGAAAACGAAGATAGAAAGCATGGCTCTACCAAGTATATGTAATGACCATGTCTTAGCCAGCAGTAGTTGGATCACAAAATGACAACCTCGCATAGTACACTAGCTTCGTCTTCATCCAGGCAGTGTTTGGAGACCAACTGGTGACGTCGTTTTTGTTCGAAGTGGACTATACGGACGAGCCTCATCTACCCAGTCCCGAGCAGCTTAAGTACAAGGTACGTTCTTCCTATAAAGATTTTTCAATTTTTTTTTGCTTTCGTTATGGATTCATACGATTATACTTTTGCCAGTTTCAATATATAAGAAAATATCCTATTTAATATTTTGTTTCAAAAACTTTAGAGATTTTGACGACATCAAAACCTAACGGATAGTCGATGACGACAGTATCTCAAGTTCTTGTGGCGCCTAAGCGGACAAAAAACCTTAACCGCGGTTCCACATTATCGCCGTGAAGCTCCGTCAACAGACGTGAACGTGAATGTAGATGGTTTTCGCGGGATTCACGCGCGTTCACGCCTGTTCCCCGATCAGAGTCGGTATTTTGTCCCGTGACAAAAGGTTCACGCACCCCTCGTGCGGCGTTCGCCCGTACACATCCACGGCCCCGTGCCAGTTCGTTTCGGACTACAAATACGAGGGCTTATATCAACATCGGAGCACTTATTTCGTCATTCCCACCAACAGTTCACATGCGCATACATTTAATATAGAAAATCCCATCATTTTTACGTATCAAAACCCACTTTAAGCCATTAATTTTAAAACTGTAGCAAAAATCCCGGCGATGTAGTTTCCGCCAAAACTTTTGTATTATTATGAATATTATATTTATTTTGTTTTTAAATGAAAAAATACCTGAATATAATAATACTAGCTGTGGGACTATGCCCGGCGTGCACGGAAATGCCTCTCTTTTCTTTTCTGTGACAAGTGTATGCGGGCGCGCGCACAATTTTTCTTTCATGAAACTTAAATGACAATCGAGCTTACAGCCTACCTGATGATAAAAGTCTATTGTATAAATAAATAAATCAATTAAAAAACTATAGAAATTAAAATAATACGCACCCGATTAAAAGTAAAAAAAATCAACCAGTATATATATTAACGGGCCGGCGAATAGAATATATATAGATAACTAGTGACCCGCCGCGGCTTCGCCTGAATAGAATCTATTATTGAGGCGTTATTCATGTTTAATATAATCAAAGATCATTTCTTCTTTTCTCAATTTTTCGTGTTTTCAAAAAAAAAAAACTTCGAGTTTTTGGGTAAAAATATAACCTAGATCCATGGAGTATAGAGGTAAGGAGGACAATCTCCCATAGGAGAATAGTTGAAAATGTGTCCGTCCGTAAGCAGTAAATAACAGTTCGAAAACTCTCCACAACAGCTCTCGAGTACAGGGTATAATCATCGTATCGTATAATATATAGTAATCGCGGTAAAATACTTTGAGAGTGATTTTAAAATAAAAATTTAAAGCAATAAAATAATTATTGTAAAAAGAATTATGGTGAAACTCTGTGCAATAAAAAAAATATAAAAAGTTCTTTAAAATTTAGACTTTTTTTTTTAATAGTATAGGGTGACAAATGAGCACACAGTCCACCTGATGGTAAGTGGTCGCTGTGGCTCATAGACATCTACATTTAACCACGATTACGAATGAAAATGCAGAATGCGTTGTCACCCGTGAGGACTAAGATGGAATGCCTCGTCTCCAGTAAAAGGGGTCTCCGGTTCTCTACATCCACCATACGAAACACAGCAGCATTGAGAAGCAATTTTACCCTCGTATTCTGTGAGAGCGTGGTCCTTCCCTGTTCGAGCCGACCCATTCGTGCTACAACTATACTACTAATATAACTGCAGCAGGGCTCTACTACGTATAAAATCTGTTCATAAAGTTTCATCACACACGGTTCAACCATTCCGAAGGTTAGTCTGGAAAAACAAACAGATATTTTAGAGACCTGTATTTTGATTCTTGATCAAGGATATTACTGCCTAGTTGTTGTAGTGTTCGCGATTGATGGTCATGTGATCCAGGGTTCAAATCTCCGGTCGGTTCAAATCAGTTATTGGGTTTTTGTCTCGAGAAATTCATAGAATTTTTTGCTCAGAGACAGGAAGTAAGCGATGTTTCACTCCCGTGCCTCGAAAAGCACGTGAAAGATTAGTACTGCGCCTGCTCCGATCGTGTCGGATTACCGTCCCATATTGGGCTATTGGGCTATCCGAGTAAAGAACCAGAGTACGAAACCTATCTAACTGCAGGGAGGTGTAAGACAGGGTGACGTTATATCCTCGAAACTCTTCATCACTGCAATAGGAGACGTTTTTAAGCTACTGAACTGGAAAGGATACGGTATTAACGTCAATGGCGAGTACATCACTCACCTTCAATTTGCCGACGATATAGTCCTTATGGCAGAATCGCTGGAGGACCTAAGCACTGTGCTCAATGACCTCAATAGTGTTTCCCAACGGATAGGTCTTAAGATGAATATGGATAAAACGAAAGTCATGTGTAATGTCCATATCACACCTATGGCGGTGGTTGTTGGGAGCACTAAGCTAGAAGTTGCAGACAAGTATGTTTACCTGAGACAAATAGTCCGACTAGGTAAGTCTAACTTCGACCCAGAGGTCAATCGACGGATTCAACTCGGCCGCGCAGCGTTCAAGAGATTGCGACACATCTTCTCATCAGGCATATCTCATAATCTCAAAACTAGATTACAACCAGTGCGTGTAGCCAGCAGGGGCAGCATTTTTTGGTGGTGCGAGATCTCATAGTGGCGCCCCAAAACCTTAGTGTTCCTATACTATGCAGTTGCTTTTTCGTAATTTAACATAGTATTATACCTATCAAATATCTACAGGTGTATATGCGGGGCAAGCACAGTTTTGTTTGTCGCCCTTATAGCAGTTGTTCTGCTTTTTCGCGTTAAAGAAAAGTTTTTAATTCCGCTCAAACTACTCCGGTGCGCTCGACAACGCCACTATGCTTGCCTTGCTGACATCACTAGTTGTAAGTACTTACATATTATTTCTCATAATAAGAGTTAATAATCTTGTTCGACAACTTTTATTTAAACTGTTGTTCTGCAGACAGTGTTAAAAAAGATAAAATAACTACCGAAAACAAACTTAAAGAAAAGTGTACATATCCAGCTTTCTGGCTTATGCGCTTGCAATTTTTTTATTAATTCGGAATAATTTATCTTCTGGGCAATAGAATTTACTACGGAAAAGATTCCAAGATATGACAGTCTTTCCTGAAACATAGTAGAAATGTAGGTATTTTTTAAAAATGTTTTGACGTACTAAAACTTCGTTTCGGCTTAGCGACAGTTATAGTACAGGTATAGTCAGCAAGATACGAAGTGCTGTCTACACATTTGGGAAAAATATTCTGCCAATCAAAAGTCTGAGAATTTTATGAGAATTTGCTAATTGAAAGTCTTTAAATATTGGATTCAAACTCATAAGTTCCTCAACCAATTTACAGATACACCTGTTCAACTGATTTGCAAATCAACACAGACTTTTTAACCTTTCAAGAATTATTTTCATTTTGTATAAAAATGAAAACGTATCCTAGAGTTTTAAAAGTTTAAGTTAAGTAACCAATGCACTTTTAATCGTATCAATCACAGGGTAAAAAACGTTCACAATTCTTTAGAAATTTATACTATATTATATAGAATCGTGGTATAGATACTATACGTAGAGCCATGGTAGCTCAGATGGTTATCGCTCGCTGTATATTTCACAGTACGCGAGCAACCAGGGTTCGATTCCCGTCATCACCAATGAAATTGATAATTGCAATTTTAAGTGCTGATTTACCACATGCTCGGCGGTGAAGGAAAACATCGTGGCGAAACCTGTATGTCCGGGAAATAAGTAAAAAATATTTCCAAGTCATGTGAAGTTCGCCTACCCGCAATGGGGCAGCGCGGCGGACACTTCCTTGCCCTGAAACACTATCAGAAATGAGAGGAGGCCCGTGCCCAGCAGTGGGACGTATATAGACTGTAACTTTAATTAACTTCATCATACTATATATACCACCAGGTACTAATCAAGAATAAGAAACTGCTGCCCGTGGAGTCCAGTCCAACTATCGGCTTGACTGGAGCTAATTCTGCGCAGGGTTATGGCGGAGTTCTGGTCACGGCTTTTAGGTGAGCTATGCAAATCTATTTATTGAAGCGTGGTAGCACAATGGCTAAGCGCTCGTATATTCGCAGTACGCGAACAACCCCGGTTCTGGATTCTGATCCGCCGGCACCGAATAAATTGATAAATGCAATTTTAAGTGCTTGTTTACCAAGTGCTCGGCGGTGAAAGGAATACCTGTACATCTGTTGTGTTTTTTTTTAATTATATCACGGTTAGCATTTCTCAGCAACCTGACTAGAATAAGAATTAAACCATTGTTAACTTTTTCATTTAAAGTATGAAGAAGTGAGTTGACATACGAGCACACAGTGCGCTTGATGGTAAGCGGATAATTTGACATCATAGACAGCTCAATAAAGAATCAAAATGCTGATGCTTTATCGCCTTCGAAGACTAAAATAAAACACCTCGTACACCTCACCGGTAGAAAGGGCCTCCGATTTCCACTGATCATTAAACACAGCATTGTACTTCTATTTCATGCTGGTACACCTCCTCGACAGATCCAACGGTATACGTCACACGAGCGCATCGCTTCCAGATCAAAGCAACCGGACCAGCTCTATAATGTCCAACCAGTCAGCGGGCAGTTCTCTCACGGAATATTTCTCTGATGAGGATTATGATGAAGATGACGAAGATATTGATGGTGAGTTAACATTCGTAACACATGGGTTGATTTAAAAAATATGTTTACTGTATCCTACTTTATGACAATTTCTAATATCCCAAAAATGCACACACGGAATGTATGTTATACGTTACATTTTTTTTATAGAATAAGGGTGATAAATGGGCGCACAGTCCATTTGATGGTATATACCAACAGTACAATAATCTGAAATGACAATATGTTGTACCCCATAGACATCTACTTCTGTCCTCGATCAAAAAACAAAATGTACTTACTTACTTACTTACTTATCTTCACGCACAATCCTTAACGGGGTAGCCACAGAGAACAGATCGCCAAGTGTCACGATCCTTACATACCTCTTTCGCTTCTTTCAGATTCATTAACTTCTTCATACATGCACGTCTAGGTATCCGAGTACTCTTGACCCTCCCCTCTTCGAGCAATTTGCTCACATGGTCTTCGAAAGTTAGTCTCGGTCTACCTCGACACCTTTTAATATTTACTTTCGCTCTATATATTATTCACCATTCGGTCTTCACTCATTCGTTCAACGTGCCCAAACCATTGGAGTACGCCCCTATCAATTTTTGCGATAAGGTCATCTTTCAATCCTGCCATATTGCGAATCTCTTCGTTTCGCTTTCGGTCGGCTATGGTAAGGCCACACATTTTACGAAGAGATCGCATCTCCACTGCATTCAACTTGCTTTTATGCTTCTTCTGGCATACCCAGGTTTCGCTGCCATATAACAAAGTCGGTACCAACACTGCGTTATGTATTGCAAGGCGTGCACTCTTCACCACGCTTTGCCTTTTTACTAATGCATTCAGGGCACCATTGACTTTGTTTCCGGCAGCGACACGCCTATCCACATCTAAATCACATGTAGATGCGTTGTTACCCCTGAGGACTGAGATGGCAGGTTTCGCCTCCAGTAAAAAGAGTCTCCGGTTCTCTATACTCACTATACAAAATGCAGCAGCAATAAAGTGCTATTTTACGCTGGTATCCTGTGATCCTTCTCTGATCGAGCCGACTCATCCGTTCTACAACCACAAGAGAGCTGTAGTATGGCTCTACCACGTACTACAGAAGTGGATACTCTGGCCCGTATACATTTACATTTATCGTCGGATAAAAATCAAAATTTTTATTGTTGTGTAATGGCGGCGTGGGGACTGGTAAGAAAGCTCAGCTACAATCAAAATAACTATAATGAGTTAACTATCTCGTATAATAATAATTTGTGAACTTTATACTAATTGAAATATACTGTACGAAAGTAAATACTTCCAATGATCAAAAACTGCGATCGTAGTTGAGTTCTATTTCGGAACACAAGCCAGAATAGCAGCGCCTATAACGGCAATTGACGCATGTTACGATTATATCGAAACGAGACAGGGCGCGCGAAATCAATAGCCACAGGTCAACCTCGACAACTGCTCGCGCAGTAATGAATTCAGATGGCCGACGCAGTAAAATATATGGTACTGTTGCGCGGCTAAGTTGACATCTCATCTCATGGCACCAGCACCATCTAGTGTCGGGTAACACAGCGAGGAGAGAGCTTTCCAGTAAATGACATGACAATTTTTTACCGACAGCGCCATCTAGTAAATCAAATTGAAGAACTAAACTTTCTAGAAGCTCTACACTCGATCTTTCTGCGCTTGGTCGGTTGGCGCGCGTATTTACTCGAATATTCTGGAATATTCTGGATGTTTTCGTGGAAGAGCCCTATATAAAGGCGCTGCAATACGCGATCGGGGAAGTATTGAAGTTGGCGAGACAAGCGAAGCTTCGGAGCGGAATAAAGTGAATCAGTGTGATTAATTATTAGTGTTTTTAACTTTAATTAGTGTAAAGTGAATTAAAGTGTTAATTTAGGTAATTCTATCGGCAATTTTTATTGTCACGAACCTCGAGCTCGTAACAGTACTTTTATTTAATTAATTAAAAACATGTATCGAAACTTTTTCGGTCGTTAATTGAATTATGTCGATTTTTTTTTTCCTTAAAAAAAGGAATATAACGAAAATGTATTTTATCATTATTAAAGTATAGGATATTTGTGAGATACAGTTTTTTTTGATGGTCGATTTTCAATAGAATCTACAAATTAGAGCTCCCATATCATGTCTATCAGAGTTTAGGCTTAAACATGCATCGCGAGAATGATTATTGCTAAATAAATAAATAAGTTATCTAAAATTTGCCTTAAGTATATTTTAGTAGATAAAACGAACTATTTTTAACAAGTAATTTTTATTTCAAATTATTTATTTCAAGCAACGAACGGAAAACATATAATTTCAAAACGAGGAAACCTTGTAATTTCGTGTTTTTTTGTAATAATCCCCTCAAAAAAATCTATCGAAACTCAAATCATATCTACCCACTGCCTCGTTGGTCTAGTGGTTGTAGTGGTGCGACTGCTGATCATAAGGTTCTGGGTTTGAATCCCGGGTCGGGCCAAAAATAAATTATTGAGTTTTCCGTCAAGAAATTCTCAGTAACTGCCCGGAGTCAGGAAGTTGGCGGTGTCTCACCCCCGTGCCTCGGAAAGCACGTAAAGCCGTTGGTCCTCGCTCTTTCGGTCTGGAGGACATTATTATTATTATTATATCTACCCAACTATATGAACGGCAATAAAACAATAAATTTAGTAAGCATCTTTGACCTTGTTACTTCGCAAGGTCATAGGCTCAAGGTCAAAGGGCAAAGTAATTGTTCAAATTTTTTTACATTTAAGTTTATTATATATATATATATATAAAAAAAAATATATATATATAAACACATAAACATAAACACTCACGCCTGTCATCCAGAGGGGCAGGCAGAGACTACAGACTTCCATTTAGCACGATCCTGACATACCTCTCTTGCCTCTTCCATATCCAAATACCTACGCATACATGCTCGTCGGTTAAGGGTACTCTTAATTTTGCCCATTTTTAGTATATCGCCAATATGGTCGACAAACTTCCGCCTAGGACGTCCCTTTCCGACTCTTCCATTCACTTCTGCAACATATATTTGCTTTGTCAGTCTTTCCGCATTCATTCCTTCTACATGACCAAACCACCGAAGCATTCCTTTCTTAATCCTGGTCACTGCATCATCTTGCAAACCACACTCTTCTTTTATCACACAGTTTCTAACCCTGTCACTCATATTCAGCCCTAACATACCGCATTTCTACTACATTTATTCTACTCTCGTGCTTCTTCTGCCACACCTAACTTTCACTACCATATGAAGTAGGGACTAATACAGCACTGTGAATTGCCATACGTGCCTTCACATTCTGACTTTTCACAATAGAGTGTAGAGCCCCATTTACTTTATTTCCTGCATTCACTCGTCGTTCAATATCCTTATCATATCTCCCATCCCTGCTGAATACACATCCCAAATATACGTACTCATTCACTTGCTCAATTAACTCTCCTTCTATTCTTATTTCACATACCGTTTTGTTTTCTTCTCTTTCAACTTTCGTCCTACTTGCATTCACTTTCATTCCCCTTTCTTTTAATGACCTGTTCATTAATGTAACCATCGTTTGCAATTCGGCCGCCGACGACGCAAGTATGACTTGATCATCGGCGTACAAAATGCATTTGATGGTTAACTCACCCATTCTTAACCCGCATTCTTCAACTTTCAAATTTTCCAAACAACTGTCCATAAATAGGTTAAAAAGCCACGGGGAAGCTACACAGACCTGTCTGACACCTTTATGGATGCCAAACCAGTCCGAGTAGACCATGTTGATTCTAACACAAGCACTCGAGTCCCTATAAAGAGACTTTAATGCCTGTATTAAACCAGCGCTCAACCTAAATGCATTCAGCGTTTGCCATAACACATGCCTGTCCACTCTGTCATAAGCCTTTTCAAGTCCATGAACGCACAAAAAACTTTTTGGTTTTTCGCCAATAACTTCTCCGCGATCATGCGCATGGAAAAGACTTGATCTGTCACCCCATTCCCTTTCTAAATCCTGCTTGCACATCCCAAATTTTTTCATCAGTTTCTTTCATAACCCTTTCAATTTGTACCTTAGCATACAGTTTTCCCACATTGCTAAGAAGGCTGATACCACAGTAGTTTTTACAGTCCTGCTATGACCCTTTTCCCTTATATATTGGGACTATCACGGCTTTGCACCAGTCTTCCGGTACCCGCTTTAGTTCCCAACATAAATTAAACAAGGTGTACAGCAAGCCTGCCACAACGTCCTCTCCAGCCCTTAGCATTTCGAGTGAAACTCTATCATATCCGGCTATATTACCTACTTTCATGCTTTTCATTGTTTTCATTATTTCATCTATACTTATTTCCTTCTTTCATCTTCTTTCGGAATTTCTGTTTCATTTAGTTCACACGCCTCCTCACTCATAAATACGCTTTCAAAATATTCCTTCCATCCCTTTAGACTCAACACTTCATCATTCAGAATACAACCATTCTCGTCTCGTATCGCATTCAATCTATGCTGTTTTGAATGTCCCCTGGTATTTCTTACGAGTTTCCAGAACATTTTAATATTTGCCTGGAAGTTATCCGATATTCTTCTATCATTCTTATCTGTTCCTTCTTGCTTTTTCCTTTCAACTAATTCTTTTACTCTCTTATTTAGACGTTTAAACTCTGCTTTTTTTCTTTCAATCTCATCATTCTTACCGCCAGAATTACCAGCTTTGGTCGCTAGTAAATCTAGCCATGCTCTCTTCTTTGCTTCAACTTCCATACGTAACGTACCTCATCATCCCACCATAACGTATTGTCTTTCCTTTCATTCGTTCTCTTACTAACACCACATACTTCGGTAGCTGCATCCACTAAACCTTTCTTAACATTATGCCACACATTCTCCAAGTCTAACTCATTCACACACAACTCATCCAAATCACTCATATTTTTTCTCAGTCTACATTTGTACTTGTCTTTCACATCTTCATCTTGTAACCTCTCAATTCTTATACGCTGTAACGCAGTGGTAGACACAGATGTGCGATGCCGCCAACGCTGAATAAACCCCTAATTCAGCATAAGACCAGGTAGTGGTCCGTTCCCTGAACCACCGGTAAACCCTTGTATCCACCACTGCGCTCCTCATTCTTTCATCAGTTCTTTCAACAGTTATGAAATCTATCATGCTTCTATCATCACCTCTTTCCCAAGTATACATGTGAATCTTCTTATGACGAAAGAAAGTGTTCGTCACAAAAAGATTCCTTTCCACACATACGGTGAGGAGGCTTTCACCATTCTCATTAATACTTTCATCACCAAACGTTCCCAGTATCCTTTCATAGCCAAGCCTCCTCACCCCAACCCTTCCATTAAAATCTCCTAACAAATAATATTTTCATTTTCCTTACATTTCATTAACATCATCCTTACCATCTCCCAAAACTGCTCTCGGATATAAGTGGGCTTAGACATGTCTGGGGCGTAGACCCCTGGAACAAACAACTTCTTTAGGCCCACTTTTTTTCGTATCCATAGCAGTCTCGGGCTTACACATTCATACTCTTTCACACATTGACCCATTCTTTCTGAAAGGATGATACCGACTCCCTGGCATGCTCGCTCGTTCTCGTCTATCGTGACCGAAAAAATATATATATATATATATATATATATATATATAGGTATGTCTTGCTGCTCTACTCTATTATATGGTAGTGAAAGTTGAGTTTGGCAGTAGAATAAATGCTGTAGAAATGCGGTCTTTAAATAGTATGCCAGGGCTGAATCTGAATGACAGGATGAGAAATTGTGTGATAAGAGAAAAATGTTTTTCTTTTTTGTAAAATATCAGTGCCATAGGCTTCTACTCCGTTCACATGTTACACCCAATTTTTTTCTAACTTCTGTAAAAAAGGTCATCCAGTATATATATTTAAAACAACGTAAGAAATAAGTAATTTTACGTAAGAAAGAATGTAATTTGATGGGGGGGGGAGCAGAACCCCACGACTATGAGTGTTGTAAGCACCCGAAATATCATTAATTATAATAAGTAAAAATATATTACATACGATAAAATCCCTCCCTCTAACTCTAATATTTATGTTAATATAAGGAATCGCAATGTACATAATATATTAAAATCTTTCAGAGAAAGAGCTTCACAAGATACTCAACTCTATGGAAGAAAAGGTTGGTCGGACGTCTCTCTCGCTCTACCAGAGCTTCCGCAGGAGCGAGGGAGACGGCGAAGCATGCGGGGGCATCAAACACGGAAACAGAAAAAGGAGTAATCAGATCGCGAGAGAACTAAGCGATATGGTCACGTATGTCCAGGTAACATTTTTTTTTAAAACAGCAACCCACTTAGTAGTCCACTGTTGGTTGTTGCCATTTTTTAATTAAATAAGAGTGACAAACGGGCACACAGTCCATCTGATGGTAAGTGGATGCTGTGGCCCATAGACATCCACAACAATTCTCAATTAAGAACCAAAATGCAAATGTGTTGTCACGCTGAGGACTAAGATGGAGTGCCTCGATTCCAGTAAACAGGGTCTCCGGTTCTCTGCACTTACCATACGAAACACAGCAGCATTACGTTGCTATTTTACTCTGGTATTCTGTGAGAGCGTGGTCCTTCCCCGGTCGAGCCGACTTATTTGTGCTACAACTATAATATAACTGCAGCGTCGCTCCACCACGTAAAATAATATCGCTGCAACGTGTTATGTTTTATTAATTTATTATACTAAATAGCCTAATCATACGAGTATATATCAGAGTATATAAAAACTTATACTTTACTTTATGCAGCTATCTAAAATTAGTTTAAAAAATTTTCTATCTAATTTTTAATTTAAAATATATCAGAAGAATAAAAATAAATAAATCATATGATATAAAAAATTAATCGTCACATAACTATAGGTCACATAATCGTAATGTATGTATGTAATGTATGTAATGTAATGTAATATACATGTCTTTTGTAATATCATATCATCAGGAGAGTACTTTAAATATATGAAAGATAATATATGTGTATTATTACAGGAAACCTTGTTACGAAAATGAGCCGCTAGTTTTATGGAGCCTATACTTACTTTAAAAAAAGCAAGTTAAAATTTATAATGCGTGTTAAAATATGGGCATCACTCATTTTGTCAAAAGTATTAAAATAGTCCCTTAAATTTTTTTATAGGTTGACAAACGAGCACACAGTCCACCTTACGGTAAGTGGTTGCTGTGGCCCATAGACATCTACATCTCTCTGCGATTACGAATCAAAATGCAGATGCGTTGTCACCAGTGAGATTAAGCTGGAATACCTCGTTTCCACTAAAAAGAGCCTCCGGTACTCTCCACTCACAATAGGAAACGCAGCAGCGTTAAGATGCTATTTCACGCTGGTATTCCTAGAGAGCGTGGTCCTTCCCCGATCGAGTCGACCTATTTGTGCTACAACTTTACTACTAATATAGCTACAGCGTGGATCTACCACGTTTAAACATAAATAATATTATCCATAATAAATAGTCATGCAACTAGTTAAGATATACGAGTATACCAGCGTAAAATAGCACCGAGCATCCAGCATTCTGGTCTCTCGCCAAGGCTGTCCAAGGGAACTTCTGTCAGCCATCTCTCCCATCTCTGCACAGCGAGGACGACTCATTGGCCCATACTGCAAAGAAGAAAACCGATTTGCTGGGCTCTCTCTTTGTGTCGAACTCGACTCTTGAAGATGGTAGGAACACACCGCCAACCATCCCGCGGTGTGATTGCTCCATGCAGGATGTGCTGCATGCCCAGCACTCGGTGCGCAGAGCACACCTCTCCTCTCCTATTGTGCTGAAGACGTGTGCTTCGGAGTTGGCACCGGTTTTTTTTCCGGTACTGCTACTCCCTAGGCGTAGTCCCGAAATCATGGAAGGCAGCTTTAGTGCAACGGATCCCTAAAAAAAGCGATCGCTCATATCCGTCTAAATACAGGCCTATCGCTATCGCTAGCGAGTAGAGAGCTCAATACTGCTGTGTTTCGTATTGTGAGTGTAGAGAACCGGAGACACTTTTTACTAGAGATGAGCTGAATATTCGTTTTATATTCGGTATTCGGTAAAGCTGCCGAAAATTCGGCAGCTTTACCGAATATTCGTATTCGGCCGAATATTCGGCTAAATCACTGAACATTCGTTAAAGTGGTACTCAAAGTGTCCACTGTATTGAAATGTATGAATTGAGTAATGCCATGCCTTTCATAATTTTACTGTTGAAAATAAATTTTAATCTACTTGTATAGCGTTATGTTTTTGAGGCACTGTAGATTTATTTCCAATTTTAGCAAATAGAAAGCTTGATAATTTTTTTTTGGAATCAAACAAAAAACATTAAATTACATTAGTACATTTCACTTTACTTTGGTCGTAAGTTTCTCTAAAATAAATCCAAATAGTAAACCTCCTGCCGCTCATCAGGCCCATCTCTACTTTTTACTGGACACGTGGCATTCCATCTTGGTCCTCAGGGGTGACAGCGCATCTGCATCTGCATCATAATCAAGGATAAATATCTATGAGCCACAGTATCCACTAAACATACGAGTACATTGAACGGAGTGGTCATTTGCCATCCTTATTCAACAAAAAAAATATTTATTTAAAATAGCAGCTTAATGGGTTGATTTTGTAATTAGCACTTATAGCTTCTTTTTTTCTTTATAATTAGAAAGATTTGTCCGGGCTGCAGATCGTTAAAAATCTATTCTTAAAATTTCTAACAGCCCGGATATTTTAACCCACATGTTATTGTTCGTTGCTGTCGGCTTACTTTCCTATGTAGTAATATGTATAAGATATAATATATCTACACGGTAATAGATATATGTTACATTTATTGCCGTGTAATAGCGGTGCAAGAATATCGACGATGAACAGTCTTTCCCGTGGGTATTGTAAGAGGGGAACTAGTCAGGAGATGAAGTCTTTCTGATAACGACTAAAAATAAAAGACTGCGGGTGCCAAGCGTGGCGACTATGACCACCCCTTTATTATTATATACCCCTTATATGGGGTATATAAGACATATGGCAAATATCCTTCCTATCGAGGAGGTTCCTATGTTCCGCAGTGGACTTTTATAGACTGTAATGGATGTTTGTATTGAAGATGTTCTACCAGGAGCACATGACCCACTGAGAGGTGAAGTTATTAAATCAACAGTAATATTACAACTATGGCAAATATCCCCCTATGAGACAATCTATGGGGGAGGCCTATGTTCAGCAGTGGACTAGACTGTAACGGTAATTTTCCTACTATTGAACAGGTTACTATTAGGTACTATTGAACGGACAGTGAAAATTTTAAGCTACCAAGTCTCTTTACATCAATTGTATTGTTGCTACTTGTAAATCAGATAAGACAAAAATTTGCAAACCATACTTCGTATAATAACTTGAATTATTTTTTTTAAAAAGCCTCTAAACAAAAAGAGCTGATGACATTTGAAGATAAACAACTGAAAAGATTTTCTTGCATCATTGCTAAGAACAGTCTCGATCAAACCTTTCAAACAAACAAAAAAACTAAATCTAAATCAGTACATCCGCTTGGTAGCTACGATGCCACATACAGACACACCGATACACACGTTAAACATATAACACTCCTTTCTTTGCGTCGCGAGTTAAAAATATAATTTGATAACTTTAAGCTAATACAGGATGTTAGTGTAAACACCGTTATCCTTGAAACCAGTGGTTTGGTTTCACTTATAGAACGTAAATTCAATGAATTTAAAACAAACGCTATTTTCTTTCATAAAATTTAAAAAGTTTCTGTCCGACACCGTCCGTAAATTCATGGATACCCTATGCACCCGAGTGACGTAATCACTGTAAAGATCACCGCCCGCGCTAGCTACCTACACAACATTCCAATAAAAACACAATAGGTACACATAACCTGTGATGTAACTTTTCCTTCATACTTTCATACTGGCTTAGGACAGGCAAAAATTGAGTGAGATTTTACTAGAAAAAATGTTATTTTTCATTGAATTTACGTTCTATAAGTGAAACCAAACTAATGGTTTCAAGGATAACGGTGTTTACAATGACACTCTGTATATAAAATATTATTTTATACACTGCCATACCGTTCATCAGATTGCGATAAAAATTTGTCCACATATTGTTGGCAGTGTAGTATAGGTACTATGATGAAACAATTTAACTAAAATAATTATCGATGTTTTCCATACATGGAGTACACGTGTGTTAATGCAATGTAGAAATAATATTTAATGAATACTGTTATATCATATTATATTTATAGAAGATGACACCATTCACGTGTTTTTCTACATGAAACCACGCAAACGAACCCTTCTCCCTACCTATTTACCTATGTCATACGTACTATTTATGTCTCCTTCCATACATTAAAGGAGTTATTAAACTGCATCAGTGATAAGCATACCACTAAGCATACCACTGCAATACTTCATGATACTATAAGCTCGTTTTGCGTAAATCGGACCAAAAATTAATATTCAAAAACTGAAGGTAGCCGGACTAACTATGACATTGGGACGTCAAACATCTCAGTCCCCCCCACGTGACCATGGTTGCTGTAAAGCACCCGAAACGTCGGGAATTAAAAATAAGTAAAAGTAGTGAAATAAACGCGATAAAATCCGTAAATTTAGTTTTATTCAACGTGTAGTGTTCGCGTAAATTTAAGAAATCATTATGCATCAGTGAGCTTAATTTATTGCCTTGCGCCCCACATTACAGCACTTCCGCTAAGGTTATAGGCATAGTTCAACCCGTTAGATGGCGCTGTTGTAGAATCCAGATATCACACGTGCGACGCCGGGGCAGATCGCTAGTATCTATATAATATATTTTAATCATAATGTACATTTACATTCATAAAACCAGTTTTTTTTTTCAAAATAAAAGAAACTCATAATATCAACAGCCGATAAAAGCTCAAGCTATAAGATTAAGTTGTTGCTTTAAGTTAAGCGTTAATTTGTAAGAGGCACCATATTATAAATTAGCAACAAATATATAATGACATTTAACTTCATACGTGGTAGAGCCACGCTGCAGCTATATTATGGTTGTAGCACGAATGTGTCGGCTCGACCGGGGAAGGAACACGCTCTAATAGAACACCAGCGTAAAATAGCAGTATAATTCAGCAGTGTTTCGTATGGTGAGTGTAAAGAACCGGAGATCGTTTTTACTGGAAACGAGGCATTCCATCTTAGCCATCAGGAGTGACAACGCATCTGCATTTTGATTCCTAATCAAAGATAAATGTAGATGTCTATGGGCCACAGCATCCTCTTACCATCAGGTGGATTATTATTATAATTTTACTCGAAAGAAATATAATATCTATGTGTCTAATATAAGTATATTAAAGGGATTGTTACATTTATTCACTATAAAATCAATTTTCTTATATTGTATGCCGAACTTGTAGTTTAAATTATAATATTAAATTAATAACTGGCCGTAAAGTACCTATTTGTATTTTATATTTCATTTCATTTGAAGGTTTCACTTCTGTCGCGTGTGAGCTGCACGCATGTTTTTTTTTTAAATTTGATTTAATCAACTTCTCAGGCAATAAAGTTTCGCGGGCTGAATCCTTTGTCCCCTCGGAGCTCTGTGAAACAGCCCAGCACAGTCATCAAGGACAGTTCCAGTGCGGCAGCATGCAATAGCTTCGAGTCCTCGGAGAGCAGCGACAGTGCTGGAACGGTAAGTGGGCCTCTTTACTAGTTGTTATGCTGCTAACTATATTATTGATGATCATGAGGTTCCGGGTTCGAATCTCATCGGGCGAAAAACAGTTGTAGGGTTTTCACTTTAAGATATATTTGGAGTCAGGAATTTGTGCTGTGTTTCACCACCGTGCGTCAGAAAGCACGTAAAGATGTGGTCCTGCGCCTGATCTCTCTCCGACAGTGTGGTTTACCGTCCCTTCCGACTTTTATTTATTTAAAAACACGACAAATATTTGCTCCTCGCAAACTATGACATCTGGTAATTTGAACTATCGCCAGTTAACTGCCAAAACGTTATTGAAACACTCAGCTGTTTTTTTTTCCATGAACCCACTTAACTCAGGTAGTCGGTACGCCCTCTAAACGGTAGTTCAATGTGTTGATTAAATATTTCTATCTATCTTCGATTATTGAAACGGAATTATCTAACTATAGATACCAATGGTAGACCTTTTAAATTCCTGTAAGGGATAGATGGGTTATTGAAACCGGCCGTATGAGATGGAGGGAATAGAGAGTGCACATGCTAGCGCATACATTCGTGCACTATAATCCTGTCCTAAGAAGATAGTCTCCGTTGAGACGAAATTCGGTCTGGAGGACATTATTTTTATTATCAAACTAGCAAGGAGTACATCATTGATAATAACCCCTGAGGGGCAAACAAAAAGATCCATTAGCACCTGCGTAAAAGAACATATAGCTGACGTGAAGTATCAACGTTCCAGGAAGTCTGCAGTTTGTGATCATATCTTAGGCCAACCATTACATCAGATTTGATAGACCACAAATCCTCGCGAAAGAACATCGATTCCTACCAAGGATGATAAGTGAGGCTATTGAAATTAAAAAACATCCTAATTTCAATAAGGAAGGTGGCTGGGTACTACCACCAACACTACTACTACTACTACTACTACTACTACTACTAGTACTACTACTAATACTACCAAGCATAACACTGCAAAGTTTCTAGACATCGTAAGTTCATTCTACATAGATCGGACCATAAACAATAATTAAAAAGCTGAAGGTGCTCCGGGTTAACATTGAAATCGGGACGTCAGTCACCTCAGTCCCCTGTGACCATGGGTGCTGAAAGCACACGAAACGTCGGGAATTAAAAATCAATCAAAATTAAACGCGATAAAATCCGTAAATGTAGTTTGAATCAATGTGTAGTGTTCGCGTAAATATAAGAAATCATTAAATAACCCCTGAGAATTAGGTGATCGCTACCATGCTATTTGTAAATATTTTCATATTTAATCATCATCATCATTACAGCCCTTCACAAGTCCACTGCTGAACATAGGCCTCCCCCAAGTAATGCCACAAAGCACGGTCCTGAGCCACCTGCATCCATCAACTTCCTGCATGTCTTACCAGGTCATATTTAATGGTACTTATAAAATATTTTATTGTAAATTAATGTTTTTATAGCGTTAGATGACAAACGAGCACACAGTTCATCTGATGGTAAGTGGATGCTGTGGTCCATTGATATTTATCCTCAATTAGGAATCAAAATGCATATGTTGTCACCCCTGAGGACCTAAGATAGAATTCCTCATTCAAAAAAAGGGTCTCGTTCCTCACACAACACACAACACTACCTCTATTTTACGCTTATTCTGTGCTGTAAATTAATTTTAAGCGTTAGATGACAAACGAGCACTTAGTATCTGATGGTAACTGGATGCTGTGGCCCATTGATATTTATCCTCAATTAGGAATCAAAATGCATATGCGTTGTCACCCCTGAGGACCTAAGATAGAATTCCTCGATTCAAGTAAAAAGGGTCTTCGGTTCTCTACACTCACCATACGAAACACAGCAACACTACGCTGCTATTTTACGCTGGTATTCTGTGAGAGCGTGGTCCTGCCCCGGTCGAGCCAATAAACGTAATTTCCAGCAACTAGCCCAGCAGTCGCAGTCCTCGTCCGTCCCCTTTGCTTGATTATCTATATATAGATATCGTCCCCAGATTGTCTTGATTAGTAGTTGATTCCAGATGTCCACTACAGCAGCAACTTACCATCAGGTGGACTATTATGTCGTAGTTCTTTTGCCACTTTATTAAGACATAAAAAAGGACTTACACAAAAGTATTTCCTTTTTTTTTTTTTTTTTTATAGGATAGGGTGACAAACGAGCGCACAGTCCACCTGATGGTAAGTGTAAGTGGTTGCTGTGGCCCATAGACATCTACATCTATCCTCGATTACGAATCAAAATGCAGATGCGTTGTCACCCGTGAGGACTAAGATGGAATGCCTCGTTTCCAGTAAAAAGGGTCTCCGGTTCTCTACACTCACCATACGAAATACAGCAGCATCAAGCTACTATTTCACGCTGGTATTCTGTGAGAGCGTGGTCCTTCCCCGGTCGAGCCGACCCATTCGTGCTACAACTATACTACTAATATAACTGCAGCATGGCTCTACCACGTAAAAAAAATAATTGTTGAATAAGGGTATGTAGTACTTTTATTTACTTTGTGATATCTTGTGGGTGACAAACAAGTACACAGTCCTCCTGGTGTAATAAGTGGATGCTGTGGCCTATAGACATCTATCTACATTTATATTCAATTTTAAGTAACAAAACGCAGATACGTTGTCACCCCTAAGGACTAAAACGGAATGCCTCGTATGCAGTAAAAAGGGTCTCCGGTTCTCTACACTCACCATACAAAACACAGCAGCATTGAGCTACTATTTTACGCTGTTATTCTGTAAGAGCGTGGTCCTCCGAGCCGACCCATTCGCGCTACAACTATAATATTGCCACAGCGTGACTCTGCCATGTACAATAATCGTTGTGCCCAGCAACTAGCCCAGCAGTCCCAGTCGTCAGCCGTCCCCCGGGCCCGCTGCCTGAACGCGCCGGCGGTGCATCACCCGTGCTACCGCTGCTCGTCCGTCAACGAAGCCATCGGCAAGAAGATCTGCAGGAAGCACCCGCTCGCGCTCATCGCTCACACGGAGACCCAGCTCGTGAGGACTTATCCCGCTGGGTGAGTTTTACCGTTGTATCTATATACTAGGATTTTCTTCTGTATCATGGGGACAATTCACGAGGACAAACATCCAGACCCGGTACAATTATATGTTTGGCATACAAATATTTGTTCCGTGCGGGTTTCGAACCCGCAACCCTCAGTGCTGCAACTTATTGCTAAGCCACGGAGCCACGGAGCCGTCAAATCATCTCATCATACATTTAATTAACTTTTTTTTATTATTTTACTACCTCTTTGGTATAGTAATTTTGAACGCGACTGATGATTTTAAGGGTTTTTCTGTCAAAAAGTATCTCAGTAGCAGCCCGGAGTTAGTAAGCTGGCGTTGTTGCACCCCCGTGCCTCGGAGAGCACTCAAAGCCGGCGTCCTGCGCCTGATCTCTCTCCGGTCGTGTCGGTTTACTATTTAGCTTTACATTTTAACCACCTGTGATGGGTGACAAACATTGAAAACATGTATTAGCTTTCTTCACCGCTTCCCATTCATCGCGGTTGTCCATATTATTATTAAACCTATAACAACTCTCTGTAGAGTGCTATTTGTCACCTATAACACACTTACGTGTTATTCGACTATTAGGTTTGTCTTGCGTAACCATAACCTTCTGTTGGTTACGCTTTTCTATTTCGTTGCGCTCGTTGCGCTCCTGTAGCACAAGGCGCGTAGACTCCTTCGCAGCGTGCCAGTTTCGAGTCCTAATTTCTGGACGCATCCTTTTTTCGAAATTATGTTCCGTGGAGAATAACGAACCGAACTGTTCGCATTCATTTTAATAAGTTAGCCATCCTTTGTAGCTCAGGCTCCGTAGGAAATTGTGTTCGAAATTCAAACCACTTGAATTTAATCACAATGCCGAGCTTGTCCACTATACGACGCACTAACTCCGGTGAGTGTAAATACTGTAGTTGTTTCATCGGGTTATGAGAGTGTGGCAATAGAGAGTGCACCTGTGCTTGCGCATACACTTGGGCACTATAATGCTGTCCTGCGCCGATGGCAGGTCTCCGTTGAGACTGGCCGCCATGACTGATACCTCGGTCAGGACATTAAATAAATAAAAATAAAAGAAATGTCTTATCGGTGTTCTTCCCCCCAGACTAAGGATAGACTCGTCTAACTTCGACCCGGTGACGTTCTGGTCTTGCGGGGTCCAACTAGTGGCGTTGAACTACCAGACGGAGGACGCCGCGATGGCGGTCAACGCCGCCATGTTCGAGAGCAACGGCTGCGTGGGCTACGTCAGGAAGCCACCCGTCATGTGGGACCCCAACCATATAGCTTACAGACGGTAAGCTTCATTGCTTTCACCCAAAGGTTTTACAGGACTAAAATGTAGTGCCTAGTTTCCAGCAAAAAAATTCCTGTTCTCTACACTTACCATTCGAAACACGGCAGCGTTGATCTGCTATTTCATGCTGGTATTCTGTGAGAGCGTCGTCTATCTCCGGTCGAGTCGACCCATACGTGCTACAACAATAATTTTATTGCAACGTGTCTCTACCACATATAAAACTTGCTTGTTATAAAACTTATAGGTGCGTTGTCATTTGTCACCGCACTGTCCTGTTTTTGGACCGGTAAAGAATAAAAGAGACTTGATAGGATTATTTCTCTACCTAAGAGTCCGTTAGTTTCTCAACTATTTTCGTCGCCAAATAGAAGTGCTTGGACTGTAAAGGGAGCCGGTATATTTACCGGCTGTGAGACATTCCATCTTAGTCCACAGAGGTGAAAGGCACTACTATGGCCGCAGAAGCCACTAAACATCAGGTGGACTGTACACTCACTTGGTGATGGTCATTGTCCAACTGTGGACTTCAAAAGGCGGAAGACAAAAAATAATGACGAACAACTTTTCCGTCTCAATCAGGTTCAACCCCATGGACAAGGAGTTCGATGGCATCCATTCGGCCGATCTGACTCTAGCGGTGATCTCCGGGCAGTACGTGGCAGAGAACGTGTACTCTTTCTATAACGCGTTCGTGGAAGTGGAGGTGCTGGGTGTCCCAGCAGACTGCAGGAAGATACGGACCAAGGTCGCCAGGAGGAACGCGCTCAATCCCGTCTGGAACGAGACCTTCAGCTTCAAGGTGGGTAGTGTCATATTAATAATAATGTCCACCCGACCGCATTTCGGCCACGGCGGCCTGCCTCAACGGAGGCTAGCCATCGGCGCAGGACAGGATTATAGTGACCAAGTGTATGCGCAAGCACAGGTGCACTCTCACTTCCCTTCCCTCACTCTCATAATCCGATGGGACGGTAAACCCACAGGACCGGAGAAAGATCAGGCACAGGACCAACGGCTTTACGTGCTTTCCAAAGCACGGGGGTGAGACACCGCCAATTTCCTGATTCCAAGCAACTACTGAGAATTTCGTGACAGAAAAACTCAATAATTAATTTTTTGCCCGACCCGGGATTCGAACCCAGGACCTCATGATCAGCAGTCGCACTACTACAACCACTAGACCAACGAGGCAGCAGTGTCACATTATGGAAACATTGATAAAACTATTTATACAGATTTTATAGTATTAATTTTCTTATATTTAATTCCCAACGTTTCGAGTGCCTTACTGAGTGAGGTGTTTGACGTCCCGATGTCAAAGCTATCCCGGCTGCCTTTATTAAGTTTTTGAATATTAATTTTTGGTTTGATCAACACAGAACTTACAGTATTTTGAACTCTTGCAGTGGTACGCTTAGGTTTTGTTAATTATATGATATCAAGCAGATGGCACCACCCATCTATGAAAAAAACAAAATAACATCCATAAAAAATTACAATAAACGTCCATAAATCCGTAAAAATAGTTTTATTCAATGTGTAGTAGTCGGGTAAACTTAATGAACAAGCTAACTTCAATGAAGTAGATGGTTCTTTATTTGAAGGTATTTTATATGTGTATCACGCGATATCTTCACTAATTGTGAACCAATTTTAACTATATTTTATTAGTGTAGTCCCATTAAAATTTGTTGATAAAATTTCACACCTTAAGTTGGAAAAACACGGAATGAATTTTGAATATAAACGTATTACATTGTTAAGAAAATCTCTGTCCGATCCGAGGGGATGTTTTTAGTTATCATGATATAATTCTGTTCTTTGAAGGGAATAAATAAAAACATATCTCAACAAAAATAAAATAAAATTTAATTAAATTTGGAAACTTACGCGGCAATATTTGTGGCGCGGGCGGTCGTCAGTTAGCAATACCGCCATATTCAAATATAACGTCGCCGACGTCGGAGTTACTGGTCTTTGAAAATTTGCTGAATTTTAAGTAAATTATAGGGGAAAAACATGTATTTTAATAGCATTAAGACTTAAAATTTTTTTCGGTAACGTCGTTGCGGTACGTATGTGCCCTTTCGAATCGGAAAGGATTTTCATTTCATATTGTATAGACGACATTCTGGTGCTCCCTTGCGGAAGCGGAAGCTTGCACACTTATACTGTAAACGCTTAGAGAAAATAGTGGGGCGCATCTTCGTGGATAGCGCTATATAAGTATAAAAGTCCACTGCTGGACATACGCCGCCCCCATAAAGATAAAGATACGTTTATTGCATAACTGTGTACAATGTGATCTTAGTACAAAAACATATAGTTTAAGGCTCAACAGTTTACCCATGTCGGATATGCAACAATTAAGATAATAAATTTAAAATTTTCTACTTACTAACATTAATTCTATTAAAAAACTCATTGATTGTAAAAAACATTTTCAATTAACAATTTCTTTAATTTTGTTTTGAACACATTTCCATTTAATTGTTTTATAGCTGGTGGTAACTGATTGTATACACAAATAGCAGTAATATATAGATACTTTTGTAGTAAATCATATTTTCAATAGTAGGTGAACTTATGTCATATTTATATTGATTGCGAATGTTTTTCTTTGAATCAGATTTCAAATTAAAATATTGCATATTGTTTTTAACAAATAGACATAATTCCAGGATAAAGATTCCAGTCAGTGTTAGGAAACCCTTTGTTACATACATTGCTTTATAGGGGGATAATAACCACAGTCGCCACGCTTGGCAAGCGCGTTTACCGCGCGTAAGACGCTGCTCCCCATCTCCATAAAATAAGGGTGACAAACGAGCACACAGTCCACCTGATGGTAAGTGTATGCTGTGACCTATAGACATCTACATTTATCTTCATTTAAGAATCAAAATGCAGATGCGTTGACACCCCTGAGGACTAAGATGCAATGCCTCAATTCCAGTAAAACGGGTCTCCGGTTCTCTACACTCACCATACAAAACACAGCATCATCAAGCTGCTAATTTTACGCCGGTATTCTGCGAGCACGTGGTCCTTCCCCGGTCGAGCCGACCCTTTCGTGCTACAACCATAATATAGCTACAGCGTGGCTCCACCACGTATAAAAATGGTTCACCCTCAACAGATCAACTTCCCCGAGCTGGCCTTCGTTCGCTTCGAGATCTACGACGCGGATACGAACTATATGCTGTCTCAGCGAGTCATACCGCTTCTGTGTTTGCGCCCAGGCTACAGGCACGTGAGGCTACGGTAAGTGTAATCAACATATCTTTTTTTTGGACATTGGTTTACGAGGGTTAATAATCTTCCGCTTACTAGATGTCGGTAGTTGACACTGAGGTGAATTTTTTGTTACAATTCAATTGAGAAGTTAGTTTTAAATATCAGTTTCTATTAGATTAATTTACAAAAGTTTTACATTAATTCACAAAACAATGCTTTTGTGGTTTGCTCTTTAATTTTTTGCACATTTTAACTTTTCTTTTAATTTTTCTACATTTTTCTGTGGTTTGATAAATTTATTTAACATAATAGAATAGAATAATTTTTTATTCAATATAGATTACATGTTGTAATTCTTATTGAAAGCCACTTTTTACTTTACCACTGGTTCGAGAGCAAGAAAGCCAGCGGTACTTTTTTTAAAATAATTTTACGATTTCGGTCACAAAATATTTACAAAATTTATTTTAGAAACAGCTTGGAAGCGACCGCCTCATTTCCAGGGGTTATAATCAACCATGTATTCATTTATATTATAATAACCCTTTTTATACAGTTTTTGTTTAATTAAATATTTAAACTTGTTAAAAGAGAGACCTTGAATATTTTCTGAGACTTTGTTGTAATAGCGTATACATTGCCCCAAGAATGAATTACTGACTCAATGGAGTCGAGAAACTGGTATCACTAGCTTGTGTCTGTTCCAAGTGTTTACAGAGTGTATATCACTTTTTTTTTACTAAAACTACCTTTGTTTTTGTGAACATACCTACATTAAATTTTCGTAGATATACTGAGAGGCTAAAGTAAATTTATTTATTTCTTGAAACTTTTCTCTCAGTGACTCTCTCGGTTTAAGGTTGTAAATAGCTCTAATAGCCCTCTTCTAAAAAACAAAAATAGTTTCTAAATCAGCCACATTCCCCCATAGCAAAATTCCATACAACATTATGCTACGGAAATAACTAAAATAAACTAATCTAGCTGTCTCCACACTAGTGAGTTAAAATATAACTAATAGTGCAGAAGGAAACATTAACCTTTACAGTTTTCTAATAAATTAACTTCCCCGCTATGAAATCAAAAATAGCATTGTCAAAAATATTACATCTAATTTTTAAGTGGTGCCGCCACTGACTTAGAAGTATTATATCTATATCTCTATGGGTGCCGCCCTGACGACAGAAAAAGTCGTGCATATCCTCATTAGAGCCTGTCCTTTTTTTCTGTTTTTATTTATTATAAGCTAGTGCTTGACCACTGTCCTTCTCATAAAAAATATGGAATTGCCGCAATCGCCACGTAAAGCGATCGTGATCAGGGATTTAGGGACCTTCAAGAAACGAAACCTTTTTAAAAGGCCGCCAACGGCCGGATGGCGATCGACGCTTTACCACCAGATAATGTCGCCTCTACACGTTGGCCAGCACAGTGGTGAATGTAGTGGCGAATATATTGGCCGAGAGTTGGTGACGGCGTCCACACGTTGGAAGGTCGTTCAGTTTACTTCGGTTCGGGCCAATGTGCGGACGAATTTATAAGCACCGTGGCGCAGTGGCTCAGCAATGAGTGGCTGCGCCGGGCGCCGCGGGTTTGATCCCGCACGGAACAAGTATTTGTATGTCCTACAAATAATTGTTTCGGGTCTGAATGTGTGTCCTTGTACAAATTATGTTTGTAAACTGCCTGCGCGATACGGGAGAAAATCCTAGTGTGGGGTTAACGTTTTTATAAAAGAATTATAAAATAATAGTGGTTATTAATGGGGCTGTAAATAGATATACGATATTATACAATTAGCTTTATTTATTCTTTACATGCATCATAAACTGGAATAAATACCATTAATAAGAACTTAACTTATTTTAAAGTTAAATGAGTTATAATCGATTAGTCTATGTTTTAAAATTGGGTTTTGATTTTAAAGTTTAGCAAAATATGTACTTGCATTTCTATCAGACATTTGATGTATATAAAAACACCTTATAATTTATTAGGTAATTTAATTATTTTTTGAGAAAGACAAAAACAATAGCAATAAATATAATTAACACTGACTTAATAATAGGTACTAATTATAACTTAGAACATAAATGAAAAACTCATGACGAGCAAAGTGGCTCAGGACCATGCTTTGCGGCAGTCTGTGGAGGAGGATGTTCAGTAGTGGACTTGTGAACAGCTGTAATGATGATGATGATTCGAAATCTTGCACGATTAAATTATAAGCAGTCGACGTTTTTTTTATAGGATAGGGTGACAAACGAGCACACAGTTCACCTGATGGTAAATGGTTGCTGTGGGCCATAGACATCTACGTCTATCCTCGATTACGAATCGAAATGCAGATGCGTTGTCACCCGTGAGGACTAAGATGAAATGCCTCGTTTCCTTTAAAAAGGGTCTCTGGTTCTCTACACTCACTATACGAAACACAGCATCATTAAGCTACTATTTTACGCTGATATTCTGTGAGAGCGTGGTCCTTCCCCGGTCGAGCCGACCTTCGTGCTGCAACTATACTTCTAATATAATTGCATGTTTCTACCACGTATAAACGACGTGCTTCATTTTTTTTCATTTTAAAATTGTCTCGTAATAATCTGATTGTAAAAAAACGTTAATTTTTTTTTTTGATAAATAGCTTATTGATTAAAACAAATGTTCAATAATAATTAAATCGCGCTAATTAAAGTAGTAGGAATGTTTAAAGTTGAAATTGGCACTAAAAGACTGGTAATTGGGACATCCACCCTACAAATCTTGAATATAAAATTTAAATCAGATGCGTGTAATCACTCTGGGAGCTTGTAGCAAACTAAACGCGCGGCCAACGTGTGGACGCGGCGACCAAACTCTGCCAACAATCCTTTGATCTTTTGTAGAAAACCGACACCACACGGATCTCGCGCCAACTTGCGGGCCATCGTTCCAATACATACCAATGAAGCCCAAACACCCCGTCTACACGTTGGCCAATGCTATTGGCCACTACATTCGCCACTGTGTTGGCCAACGTGTAGAGGCGCCGTAAGCCGCATGCTCGTTTGCCCTTGCCTTGGCTTGTTTTTATAAAAAAAGTAATAACGCACCTTTGACATTGATCCGGTCTCAATAGGTATTTGTATTTGCGTTAAGGTCAAATAAAATATGCAAATGTTAAATATTTAACATAATTTTAATTTTATACAAATTTAATACAATATTATATTCACGTTATGTTTCACATGATTCTCTTAGTTTTTATTTTAATTTCTAAATTAATTTTATCATATTTTAGAAGAATAATTGAGAATAATATTTTCTTAGGCAACCTCAGATGAAGTAAAAAAGGTAGATACAGCGCGGCCTTTGTTATTGGTGAAGCCAAAAAACTCCGCTCCTTTATGTAAGCACACGCGTTCACGCACACACATGCATCAAACTACGCTCATTTTCGCTCAGTACTTCCCGGAGCGCCGTGCAGTAAATTTGCCTACAAAATGCCGTCCTGTGTAGTTAAATGATGCAAAAACAATACTAAAATGAAAAAAAAGTCTGAAGCAATATCGTTTACTCTTAAACACTCATTAATTCATCTGAGTAGACAACTCACAAAAGGATGAGAGTTCTTATTTTTGTATGTATGTTACGAGAGATCTTCGTCTATTTGAGCCAAATTAAATACTTCTTTTTTTACTAAACAGGTTCAGGTGTAATCCCATATGGATTTGAACACAATGTTCCACCCCTAAAGGTTAGAAAAATGGATCACCCATTTTAAGAAGTTTAGTTTGATTGTTATTGCTCTAGTATGATTTTAATGGATTTTAAATAATACTAGCTTGCCCTTTTCGACGGCCCTTAGTCATGTCCTGTTGAAAAAAATCCTTAAATTCGCAAAAAAATTTGGAACAAACTGCACACGGTGTGAAAATTTTATTAAAATCGGTTAAGTAGTTTAGGAGTCCATCGCGGACAAACAATGTGACACGTAATTTATACATATTAAGATGTTAGAAAAGCTTCATTTGTCTGCCTTTCTCATCATTCATCTGGCTGGTTAATTCCTCAGGATAAACTAATTCATAAACTACTGGAAGAAAATCAGTGCGTTCAATATATAATTATGACATTCTAAGACCAGGAGAAACTAATATTATAATTTCTATTAAATAACAAAAAAAAATTGAAGTAAGACGAATTAGTCGAAAACCCTCGTTTTCAATGAATCGCCCTCTAGTTTTTTGAACACCGTTTCAATTATCTGGAGTCTTTTTATAAAAAACTAGCGATCTACCCCGGCTTTGCACGGGTGATATCTGGATTCTACGACAGAGCCACCTACCGGGGCCAACTATGCCTATAACCCTCGCGAAAGTGCAACCAATATGTTGATAAAGTTTTACTGCAATCTTTTGACCGGTACGTCAGCGCATAAATACGAACAAATAAACATAAATTTTTATATATTAGATAAAGGTTCGTCAGGGGGTTTTCATGCTGGTCTACCTTTCCGGTGATCCTGTTATGGAATACGGGTACGCGACCCCGGCTCCCCGAGCTACTGTTATTCTCATACCTTTCCTGCCGAGATAACAGTATCCTTACACCTACGCTCCTACCCTCAACCTTCTTTTTCCTTTTCCCAAAATGGTAGCTTCCTCTACCAACAATAGCATACCCAAAAAGGGTTGGTGTCAGGCAGGCGGCCGACTGTAAAACTTTTGCCAAATCCCATGCAGTAAACCTATGAATAGTACGAGTTGTGGGATATATGACAGGGCTAGGGCGTACCCCGCAGGCGACGCGCAGGGGCAGCACCCGGCTCCTGTGGGAAGTGGGCAAGGGTTGTCGCACCTTACGGAGCGGGTGCGACGTAAGAGGCGAGCCCGGAGAGAGAAGAATGTCAGAGTGAGGTTTGCAAGCTGGAATGTAGGTACGATGACTGGAAGAGGAAGAGAGTTAGCAGATGTTTTGAAACGACGAAGAGTGAATGTTGCCTGTTGGCAGGAAACAAAATGGAAGGGCAATAAAGCAAGAGAGATTGGGGAAGGATACAAGTTTTATTATTGTAGAAGTGATGGGAAGCGAAATGGAGTAGGAGTTGTGTTAGATAGTGGAATGAAAGAACGAGTGACAGATGTGAAAAGAGTAAATGACAGAATGATAGTTGTTAAATTAATGATTGAAAACAAAGTAGTGAATGTTGTAAGTGTGTATGCTCCGCAAACAGGCTGTGAAGAGAGTGTGAAAGAGAAGTTTTGGGAGGAATTTGATTGTATGATGATGGGAATACCTGAGAGTGACGATGTTTATATGGGAGGAGATTTTAATGGACATGTAGGGAGAGTGAATGACGGGTATGAAAGAGTACACGGTGGATGGGGGTACGGAGTGCGGAACCGGGAGGGGGAAGTTCTTCTGCAAGCAGCATGTGCTTTCGACCTGGCTGTAGTAAACACGTGGTTCCAAAAACGTGATCTCGTTTTTGGAACCACATCTTGTTACTTATAAAAGTGGCCACCACGCGATACAGATCGACTATTTTCTGATAAGACGGAACCAAATCAAGAGTGTAAAAAACTGCAAAGTGCTTCCAGGTGAAGACTTAGTATCCCAGCACCGAATTCTGCTGGCTGACATCTGCTTAACTGTTCGCCTTAACAAACATAAGGATCGTCCCCCACCCAAAATAAAGTGGCATTTGTTGCATAAGGAGGAGTATGCAAGTGAATTTAGGGAGTTAGTTGTTAACAAGATGATAGAGATGGGTGATATGGAAGGAATGAGTGTGAATGAGTGCTGGAAGGAAATGGCTGATTGTATCCGAAGTGTGGCAAGGAAGGTGTTAGGAGAAACAAAAGGGAAGCGTATGATAGATAAGGATGGGTGGTGGTGGAGTGAAAGTATTAGAGAAGTTTTGAGAGAAAAGAAAAATGCCTTTAAAGAATGGCAGAGCGTAGAAGACCAGAATGAATCCATAAAAGAAAGTAAGAGAGGGGCGTATAAAGAATGTAAGAAGAGAGCGAAGAAGGAAGTTGCTATCTGTAGGGCAGAGGCGCAAGATAAATTATATCGGTCCCTTGAAAGCCTCGAAGGTCAAAAACGACTTTTTCAAATTGCAAGAGCGAGAGAAAGGAATGGAAGAGATGTTTCACATGTAAAATGTATAAAAGATGATTCTGGAAGGATTTTGACTGACGATGAAAGTATAAAGAAGCGATGTAAGGAGTATTTTGAGAAATTGATGAATGAGGAGAATGAATGGAATGGTATGCTTGAAAACCCACCAGTGAATATGGGCTTAGTGAGAGAAATTAGTGTGGAAGAAGTAAAAATGGCTGTTAGGAATATGAAGAACGGGAAGGCGGTCGGCCCAGATGGAATACCAGTAGAAGTGTGGAAGTTGCTGAGTGCGGATGGATGGAAGTGGTTGAGTTTGTTTTTCGGTAAATTGTTGCAGGAAGAACAAATACCTGAGGAATGGTGCAGTAGTATACTGGTCCCCATTTTTAAAAACAAAGGAGACGTTCATAACTGCAGCAGTTACCGGGGGAATAAAACTCGTGTCACACACGATGAAAGTCTGGGAAAGAATAATAGAGAGAAGAATGAGAGAAGAGTGTGAGATAACACAAAACCAGTTCGGATTCATGCCCGGTCGAGGTACGACAGATGCCATTTTCGCATTACGCCAATTGTGCGAAAAGTACAAGCGCGTGCATAAAAATCTGCACATGGTTTTTGTCGACCTTGAAAAGGCGTACGATCGGGTTCCCCGTGAGGTTTTGTGGTGGGCGTTAAAGATGAAAGGTATGCCTGGGAAATATGTAAGGTTAGTCCGTGCTATGTACAGAGTATCCCGTACATGTGTACGATCTGCCGCGGGAACTACGGGCAGTATCGGTGTGGCTGTAGGGCTGCACCAAGGGAATTGAGCCCTTACCTCTTCCTACTGATTATGGACGCTTTGACGTCGGACCTGCAGGATGAGGCACCCTGGTGCATGCTCTTTGCCGATGACATCGTGCTTGTCTGGGAAGAAGGCACCGAGGTACAGAGCAGACTGACGGGGTGGCAACAGAGACTGGAAAGTGTTGGCTTGAAGATCAGCAGATCCAAAACCAAATATCTGTGCTGTGATTTCGGCGGTCTTTCCAGTCCTGTACCCATGTCGTTGGATTGCGCTATACTGCCTACCTGCTCAGATTTCAAGTACCTCGGTTCCCTCATTCAAGGCGACGGCGAAATAGATAGAGCTGTGCAGCATAGGATTAACGCAGGGTGGATGAAATGGCGACAGGTCACAGCCACAACGTGCGATCCCCGAATGCCAATAAGGCTGAAGGGGAAAATTTACAAATCGACCATCCGACCTGTCGTCATGTATGGAAGTGAATGCTGGGCCGTCAAGAAGAAGGATGAAAATAGATTGCATGCGAATGAAATGAGAATGTTACGATGGATGTGTGGTGTGACAAGGATGGATAAGATAAGGAATGAGTATATAAGAGGAAGCCTGAAAGTAGCGCCAGTGGTAGAAAAGGTGAGAGGAAGCAGATTGGCATGGTTTGGGCATGTGATGCGGAGGGATGAAAGTCATATCACAAAACGAGTGTTGAATGAATGTGGAGGGACACACGGGCAGAGGAAGGCCGAATAAAAGATGGATCGATTGTGTGAAGAGTGATATGAGAATGAAAGGAGTAAGTATGGAAATGACGGCTGATAGAGAGGAATGGAACAAGAAGATTTACTGCGCCGACCCCAGATAATGGGAAATGGTTTAGAGAATGATGATGATTAGATAAAGGTGACAAACTAGCACACAGTCCGCCTGATGGTAAGTGGATGCTGTAGTAATCTGTAGTAATATAGCTGCAGCGTGGTTCTACCACTGTTATTAGATAAGATTCACCTAATATTTCCTTGGGAATCCTCACTCATGAAGGGCGTAACAGAAGGATTTCAAGTTATTACGTTTTATTACGGTGTTTTGTTAAATAATTAATCAAGCTTGGGTTAGCTGGAAAAATTTATTTGAAAACTCAAAAATATTACTACATGTGAAACAGTCGTTTATACCTTCATTAATATATAATAATACCGTACTTGTTTTCGTTTATTTGCTGTTTAAGGTACGTGACGGTAATATGGTTACCATAAGCTTTGCCGCCATATAAAACCAAAACTTGGAGGAAGCAAAGACAAAAACAAAATTCGTATAAGACTATAAATAATATATTGATAAAAAAACAAGCTTTGGCAATATTAGGGACACTTTGAAAAATGAACTTAAAAAAACTAACTACACTACATACACCATACCTACTAAAATCGACTAAAATATTTACAATAATGTAAACTGTCAAAATGGCGTCGATAAAGCGGCGCCCTTTTGACCCTTTATTATTTGATTGACCGATAAAGAGCTATCATATCACAGAGCCATCTATGCAAACAAGGCAAATTTTTGAGTTACGAGAAAGTGACCATATTAACCGGATGACCATATTACCCTCATGTAAGCTATAGTAAATGTTTTAAAAACATTCGACGATTAAGTCCTTATCAAGTAATAGGAATTATTTTCGTCTAGGAATCTGGGCCTTGTCTGGGTAGTTAGGACTTGGTCTCTTATCTGTATCTAAGCAGTATATAAAATATTGTGCGGCTAATAGACTAAAGAGAGTAGGTATATAAAATTATATACTTACATCCTCTCACCTTATTAACACTATAGGATTAATATTATTACTACATTTCAAATTGAAAGATAGTGTTCTAGACTTTCAATCACCGTTTTAACTATCCTACTGAGCCGACTCTTCACTGCTACAAAACCGACCGTTCCTGTTCGCAGTTCCCCCACCAACCAGCCGCTGAACATGGCGTCGCTGCTGGTGTTCTCGCGGTGCAGCGAGGAGTCGGCGTGCGGCGGCGCGGGCGCGGGCTCGCCGCGGGACCTGCGCGTGCACTTCCTCGTGGTGTACGCGGTCGCCCGCCACGAGCCCTACTCCATACTGAAGGTCACGCAGGACACCACAGCGAACGAGGTAATACAAACAGAAACTTTTTTATTGAATATAGATTATAAATAATACTTAAATTGCATTGTGCATTTACCACTGGTTCGGAAATAACTTCTGTCCTGGGAAGAACCAGCAAAAAACCCAGTGGGACAATTAAAAAAAATCATGTACGTTACATAATTAACTTTATATAACGTTAATAATTATGTTCCACTGATTTTTGGTTAGCCTCGACAGACAGACAGATAGACAAAAAATTTAAAAATAGCTCTTAATGTCATGCAAATAATTTCCTCAACTCAATAAAAGGCAATTATTTCGATATTATAGACATACACTTCAATTTTATTTGTCTGTATATTTTTATAATAATATCCTTCTCCAGAACGAACTTCGGCCACAGCGACTAGACTCAACGTACACTAACCAGACTTTCAAACAGTGGTAGAGCCACGCGGGTGCACGTATGGGACGGCTCGAACCGGGGTGGTACCACAATCTCTCGCTGAGCATCCACGCCCAAGCTACCCTACTCTTCCTGAGCGTGCGTGCTCAGGCTGCCCCTTTTTTTTACATAGGGAAATGCCTACGCATACCCGCCTCGCGGGGGCAAGGACGGGTTATGTCGGACTCGCACCGACTAAAACCCCATGGTGTTCCACCTTCGTCGCATATTGGCAGGGCTACGGGAACGCTTTCGCACACTTCCGCGGCCCTACCAGCGACTGCCGCCCCATGGCAGCACCTCCTCGGGAGAGGAATATTCCTTCCCGTTCTCCTTCCCAAGTAAGGCGCACCAGAACACATGGCACGCCTTACTCCACGGCCTCCAATTGCATCTTCGCAAAGACGCCCCCGCGTCCGATGCGCGAAGACCATGGGGCCAGGAAAAACGAGCACTTAGAAGTACTAGCCTTCCCGACCCCAGCGGCGGATCTGGTCTATGGCTCCGCCGCCAACCAAGATTCGGCTGCGGAGGATAGGGAGAGCGGCGCCTCGCAATACGGACAATCCTCTCCCCCCGCAGCCCTATCACCACCGCATCAACGGTGCGGCCCCGTTTGAGTCACGGAGGATAGGGCGAGTGGCGCATCGCCATACCAACACTCCTCTTCCTCCGCGACTCCACCTCGGCTGCAGCGGTAGAGGGTGCGGAGTCCCCACTCGCTGCAGTCTACCAACACACATCCGAAGTGGGCTCCTCAAGCCCACTCGGAGTGGCCACCTCAGGCCGGCCCTTCACCTCGGGCCAGCCACGTGGGTTCCTCTTTGTTCACCGTGGGAGACCAAGCCACGGCTACTAAGTGCCCCCGCCACGACAAGGCGGGAACCCGTTCGGGGGGGGGGGGGGTGCTCAGGCTGCCCCGCGGTACAAATTAGAAAACTCCTTTTTGCCCCGGGCTTGGGTTTGCGTGTACGTCGGAGATGACATCTGTTTTCGACACCTCGGCGGCCTTGAAGGTCCATCCCCGCGTCTACGGGTGCCTCTATAGATTCCATAGCAGTAATGCCGACACAGACCGACTTATCGACCACGTCCAAATGGTTGCAGACTCTATGCTACAACAGGTCCCATCAGCAGAGATCGTGATACTTGGTGATTTTAACGCCCACCACGCTGAATGGCTTGGTTCTCATTTAAAAGATCATGCAACTGTTTATGACATTGCTTTGGCATATAGTCTGACACAAATGTTTACCTCGCCTACGCATATCTCAGATGTGGAAGATCATGTATCTTCCCTGTTGGATCTTCTGCTGACCTTTCATCCGGATGGATATCAGGTCTCCGTCGATGCCCCTCTTGGCTTCTGGGACCACTGTCTGATCTCGAGTACGGTGCCACTCACGCTCCCATCGCGGTTGAATTCTGATTGTTGCCGTCGTATTTGGCACTATAGGTCAGCCGATTGGGACGCGATGCGATCTTTTTTTGCACCCTGCCCTTGGAGGCGGGTATGCTTCTCGCCGAATAATCTCAGGGTTGTTGCTGATTCTCTCGTTGATGTCATCTGTGGTACCTATCGAAGGCGGAACCCAGTCATGGTTTGGTCGCTCCTGCAAAATTGCATTACGCCATAAGCAGGAGTGCTACCAGGCCTGGGCTCACGCATCGACGTTTCGGGATGCAAATACAAGCGCCCTTAAAATAAGTATAATTCCGCATCCAGGTCTTTCAAGTGTCATTGCCAAGGGAAAGTCAGAGCACATCAGCAGAATTGGCGAGAAACCAATTCGTCTTCCTTCGGGAATACGTGCATTCTGGTCTCTCGCCAAGGCTATCCAAGGGAACTTCTATCAGCTATCTCTTCCATCTTTGCATAGGGAGGAGGACTCACCGGTCCATGCCGCAAAGGACAAAGGCGATGTGCTGGGCTCTCTCTTTGAGTCCAACTCAACTCTTGATGACGAGGGAACACACCGCCGACAATCCCGCGGTGTGAGTGCTCCATGCACGATGTGCTGTTCACCCAACGCTCGGTGTGCCGAGCACTCCTCTCCCTGGACGTCAACAAGTCCAGTGGGCCTGATGGCGTCCCTCCTATTGTGCTGAATACGTGTGCTCCGGAGTTGGCATCGGTTTTAACGCATCTTTTCCGGTACTCCTACTCCCTAGGCGTAGGACATTTCAAATTGGCCTAATCCTTGCCTGATGGACGGGAATAGTGCACTGCGCATTAGATATAGATACATACCTGAGAGATGAGAACAGTATGTTAGATATTGAGTTAGTTCTTGCCTATGCTTGGGTACTGTAAAATCTTAAGGCTTGTAATACAAGACGGTATAACATGCTGAAAACCACGGTGCAGTTCTAATGTTATAGTTGCAATACAAATGAGTCAACTCTACCACGGAAAGATCAAGCTCTCACCGAATACTAGCGTAAAATAACAATTTAATGCTGCTTTGTTTCGAATGGTGAGTCGAGATCGAGACCCTTTTTACTGGTAACGAACTATTTTAGTCTACGTGGGTGACAACGAATTGCTGCTTGGTGCTGGGGCCACTACTGTGGAACCTCGCCTATGATACGGTTCTGCGAGTTGAATTTCCCAGTGGCGTAGACATCGTTTGTTATGCTGAGGACACTTTGGTGGTTGCTAGCGGGATCACCTTCGATAAGGCCAAGAAGCTCGCCGAGTTTCGAGCAGAAGTCGTCGTTGCCAAAATCCACGAGTTGGGAATAGAAATAGCGCCTCACAAGACCGAGACTACCACCCTACTTATGCATCCGCATGGGTGGGTCTTTAGTCAGAATGGGGTGGTATATGAAGTACCTAGGCCTCCGCCTGGACAGTCGATGGGGCTTAGAAGAACACTTCGAGCGCCTAGTTCCCCGGATTGAAAGGGTAGCGGGTGCTATGCATAGATTGTTGCTCAATCTCGGACGACCAAGGGAAGAAGTGCGTCGCCTCTATGCAGGAGTGATACGGTCCGTAGCCTTGTACGGGGTACTTGTTTAGGCGAAACGGCTGGCCATCCGGCTCTGTAGAGCTAAAACAGTGTGCAATGGAGGATGGTCATACGGATCATGCGAGGATACCTCACGATATCCTTTGAGGCAGCGACAGTCTTGGCTCGCTTTCCACCTCTTGACATACTGGCGGACATGAATGCGAGGCTGTACGACCGGACACGTGTTCTCTGCCAGAGCGGTGAGAGAGAGCCAGATGAGGTGTTCAAAAGAATTAAGCGGCAGGAACGGCTTAAAAGCGTTATGCGATCAAACGCGTTGTTGAAGCAATCCTGCCACACTTCGAAGCCTGGATGCATCGACGAGCAGGAAGACTCACTTATAGACTTACATAGATAATAACCGGGCACGGGTGCTTCGGTGATTATTTGTGTAAGATCGGACGCGAAGCGACGGCGAACTGTTTCCACTGCGGTGGGCAGGACCAGGACTCCGCATCCCATACACTGGCAACGTCTAGCGCGGAAGCCAGAGCGAACAGTCCTGGTAAGCTGGATCGGTCAGAGTCTCACCCTGCCAGCAGTCGTGTCGGCGATGCTGAGCAGGGATTCGACGTGGAGGGCCGTAGCCACCTTCTGTGAATCCGTTATTCTAGTCTTCGTTCAGAAGAAGGCTGCTGAGCAGGATCGGAAGAGGGTGAATCCTGTTCGAAGACGGAGTCGCCAAGGTGTTCGTCACGGCCCTCCTCTTATAAACGGTGTCCCCTACCAGAAACGAGGCCTCTGGTGTTGCAGACGTTCCGGGCGGGCGCGTCGAATACCTAGAGATGTAACCCCCGAGAAAGACCATGTCTCGGAAGTGGTCCCGAGACACCTTGATAACACTGCGAGGATGCTGGGGGCAGAAAGAACTGCCCTCAGGACGTGCTTCCAATATAGCAAAGCGAGAGAGGGTTGCGTTCCGAACGGAGATCCCGGGACACCTCATATATACACGCTGATGGTGTCCACCGTGGGGTTTTGGCCGGTAAGAGTCCGGCATAACCTTTCTGTTGCTCCCGCAGCAGAAGATTTTCCCACGATAAAAAAGATGGCTATGAGGGTAGATTTCTATCCCCCCGAACGGGTTCCCGCCTTGTCGTGGCGGGGGGCTTAGTAACCGTGGCTTGGTCTCCCACGGTGAACAAAGAGGAACCCACGTGGCTGGCCCGAGGTGAAGGGCCGGCCTGAGGTGGCCACTCCGAGTGGGCTTGGGGAGCCCACTTTGGATGTGTGCTGGCGGACCGCAGCGAGTGGGGACTCGCGCACCCTCTACTGCTGCAGCCGAGGTGGAGTCGCGGAGGAAGAGGAGTGTTGGTATGGCGATGCGCCACTCGCCCTATCCTTCGCGACTCAAACGGGGCCGCACCGTTGATGCGGTGGTGGTGGGGCTGCGGGGGGAGAGGATTGTCGGTATTGCGAGGCGCCGCTCTCCCTACCCTCCGCAGCCGAATCTTGGTTGGCGGCGGAGCCATAGACCAGATCCGCCGCTGGGGTCGGGAAGGCTAGTACTTCTAAGTGCTCGTTTTTCCTGGCCCCATGGCCTTTGTGCATCGGACGCGGGGGCGTCTGTTGCACAGACGTAATTGGAGGCCGTGGAGGAAGGCGCGCCATGTGTTCTGGTGCGCCTTACCTGGGAAGGAGAACGGGGAGGAATTTTCCTCTCCCGAGGAGGTGCTGCCATAGGGCGGCAGGCGCTAGTAGGGCCGCGGATGTATGCGAAAGCGTTCCCGTAGCCCTGCCAATATGCGACGAAGGTGGAACACCATGGGGTTTTAGTCGGTGCGAGTCCGACATAACCCGTCCTTGCCCCCGCGAGGCGGGTATGCGTAGGCATTTCCCCATGAAGAAAAAAAAAAGGGTAGATTTCTATGGACCTCTGCATACACTTATTATCTGATGGACTGTGCTCTCGTTTGTCGCCCTTATTCTGTAAAAACAATTCATCTTTTTTACTCAAAATATCACGAAGATGTGTGAGTCGGTTCACTTCGAAACAGTGTCGGTTCTTCTGCACAAATCAAAGGCGCTTGCCTGCTCTCGGCGAGTTCACTCTTTCAAGCCGGCAATACATGTCGGCCACACCTATGCCAACGCGATTGTAGGAAAATTGATACAAGGCGAGTGCTACGCTCTACAAGTTGGTGAAGTTTGAGAGAGTGAATATAGTGAGATCGACGACTAACATGTGGACACTACTTGCCGAGTGCAGGCGAGCACCTTTGATTTGTGCAGAAAAACCGACACTATTCCTAAATGAGACGAGTCGTGACGAACGATCCCGAATGGTGGCAAGGCACGCCAAATGAACCGTATACAGTTTGGCGCTCGCCAGCTAGGGCGAGGGACGACGAGCAATGGCGAGGCTAGACAAATGTTCTGTTATGTTGGTACTCGCCTTCGGTCGGTGAGCTATGGCCAACATGTATAGCCAGCATAAACTGTAGCGTATCAATTTGCTCGCAAATTACGCTCGCATTAGCTGAAGTTTGGCCAACGCGTAGACTTGAAATAAAACTAATTTAACGGATTCTTCAGAGTCCCCTCCCCCCCCCCCCGTAATAATGTGTACTGTAAAGTGCTCGAAACGTAGGGAATTCAAAAAAAGTGAAAATAGAAATATTCTCGTAAATATAAGAAATCACAACATGTGGACTGTAACACTCACTTTGTATCAAATTGATTACACTTTGCGCAGCTAAGGCGTGGCCTACGTGTATTAACGGATTAGGTTAGTGCTTGATTTTGTTCGGCGAACTATGGCCAACATGTACAGCCGACATAACTAATTACAGCCAATTTGTGCCAGCTAGGAACATAGTTCCACAAAAACCAGTGAACGTTGACGGTTAGTGTTGGTCTCTTTTAAACTTAACCAACATATAGAGTGAAGAGGCTTGATTGACATGTATTGCGGACTTTTCAAATTTGACCAACATGTAGACTGAAGATGTTTGACCAACACGTATTGCGAACTATTCAAATTTGACCAACATATAGACTGTATAGGTTTGACCAACATGTATTGTGGACTTTTCTTACCACTGTAAACGAGAGGCTCGGCCAACATGTATTGCGGACTTTTCAAACTTGATCAACATGTACACTGTAGAGACTTAATCAATATGTGGCTTACGGAAGTGCTCGTTGTGGTCAGGCGATAGCGCAGTGCCTGAGCAAGGCAGGCGTGTGCCGGGCGGCGCGCGGCGGCTACGTGCTGGTGGAGGAGGTGGCGGCGCGCGCGCCCACGCAGCGCGTGTTGGCACCACACGAGCGAGTGCTGCGCGCCGCTGCGCGTCCCGCCGCACGCCTGCTGCTCAAGCGCGTGGGGGACGACCCCAGCAGCCGCGCGTGGCTCACAAGCATACGGTGAGGGTTGATACCTACTAGCTTATCTGCTACAGCGCGTATGCAGCGACTTTAGCAGTCGCACGTGGCTCACAAATATAACGGCGCCTCTACACGTTGGCCAACCCAGTGGCGAATGTAGTGGCCAATAGCATTGGCCAACGTGTAGACGGGGTGTTTGGGCTTCATTGGTATGTATTGGGACGATGGCCCACAAGTTGGCGCGAGTTATGTCGCCTCTACACGTTGGCCAGCACAGTGGCGAATGTAGTGGCGAATATATTGGCCGAGAGTTGGTGACGGCGTCCACACGTTGGAAGGTCGTTCAGTTTACTTCGGTTCGGGCCAATGTGCGGACGAATTTATAAGCACCGTGGTGCAGTGGCTCAGCAATGAGTGGCTGCGCCGGGCGCCGCGGGTTTGATCCCGCACGGAACAAGTATTTGTATGTCCTACAAATAATTGTTTCGGGTCTGGATTTGTGTCCTTGTGCAATTTATGTTTGTAAACTGCCTGCGCGATACGGGAGAATATCCTAGTGTGGGGTTAACGTTTTTATAAAAGAATTATAAAATAATAGTGGTTATTAATGGGGCTGTAAATAGATATACGATATTATACAATTAGCTTTATTTATTCTTTACATGCATCATAAACTGGAATAAATATCATTAATAAGAACTTAACTTATTTTAAAGTTAAAGGAGTTATAATCGATTAGTCTACGTTTTAAAATTGGGTTTTAATTTTAAAGTTTAGCAAAATATGTACTTGCATTTCTATCAGACATTTGATGTATATAAAAAACACCTTATAATTTATTTGGTAATTTAATTATTTTTGAGAAAGCCAAAACAATAGCAATAAATATAATTAACACTGACTTAATAATAGGTACTAATTATAACTTAGAACATAAATGAAAAACTCATAACGAGTAAAGTGGCTCAGGACCATGCTTTGCGGCAGTCTGTGGAGGAGGATGTTCAGTAGTGGACTTGTGAACAGCTGTAATGATGATGATAATTCGAAATCTTGCACGATTAAATTATAAGCAGTCGATGTTTTTTTTATAGGATAGGGTGACAAACGAGCACACAGTTCACCTGATGGTAAATGGTTGCTGTGGGCCATAGACATCTACGTCTATCCTCGATTACGAATCAAAATGCAGATGCGTTGTCACCCGTGAGGACTAAGATGAAATGCCTTGTTTCCTTTAAAAAGGGTCTCTGGTTCTCTACACTCACTATACGAAACACAGCATCATTAAGCTACTATTTTACGCTGATATTCTGTGAGAGCGTGGTCCTTCCCCGGTCGAGCCGACCTTCGTGTTGCAACTATACTTCTAATATAACTGCATGGTTCTACCACGTATAAACGACGTGCTTCATTTTTTTTTCATTTTAAAATTGTTCTCGTAATAATCTGATTGTAAAAAAAACGTTAATTTTTTTTTTTGATAAATAGCTTATTGATTAAAACAAATGTTCAATAATAATTAAATCGCGCTAATTAAAGTAGTAGGAATGTTTAAAGTTGAAATTGGCACTAAAAAGACTGGTAATTGGGGCATCCACCCTACAAATCTTGAATATAAAATTTAAATCAGATGCGTGTAATCACTCTGGGAGCTTGTAGCAAACTAAACGCGCGGCCAACGTGTGGACGCAGCGACCAAACTCTGCCAACAATCCTTTGATCTTTTGTAAAAAACCGACACCACACGGATCTCGCGCCAACTTGCGGGCCATCGTTCCAATACATACCAATGAAGCCCAAACACCCCGTCTACACGTTGGCCAATGCTATTGGCCACTACATTCGCCACTGTGTTGGCCAACGTGTAGAGGCGCCGAAAGATCAATGGAGTGTTGGCAGAGTTTGGTCGCCGCGTCCACACGTTGGCCGCGCGTTTAGTTTGCTACAAGCTCCCTAGTGATTACACGCATCTGATTTAAATTTTATATTCAAGCTTTGTAGGATGGATGCCCTAATTACCAGCCTTTTAGTGCCAATTTCAACTTTAAGCATTCCGACTACTTTAATTAGCGCGATTTAATTATTTTTAAAAATTTGTTTTAATCGATTAACTATTTATCAAAAAAAAATAACGAACATTTATTTACAATCAGATTATTGAGAGAACAATTTTAAAATGAAAAAAAAAATGAAGCACGTCGTTTATACGTGGTAGAACCATGCAGTTATATTAGAAGTATAGTTGTAGCACGAATGGGTCGGCTCAACCGGGGAAGGACCACGCTCTCACAGAATATTAGCGTATAATAGTAGCTTAATGATGCTGTGTTTCGTATAGTGAGTGTAGAGAACCAGAGACCCTTTTTAAAGGAAGCGAGGCATTTCATCTTAAGCGGGCTACATACGACATGATATCGGTGGCGATCTAGGGTGGAGTAGTGGGGATGCCTCCTAGATTGCCTCTAAATCGTGTCGTATGTAGGGCCATCCTAAATCGTGGCCGATATCGCCTCCTTAATCGGCTGGCAGGAGCAAAAATGCAGCCGATGCTTCCTAGATCGGGGCCCCGCCCCCTCCGTACTGCGTGTGTGTAGGCGCATCGGCCCGATTTCTTTTGGCAGTCGCTGCCGGCAACCCTCGCGGAAGGACGTTAACAAAACAGTGATACTGAATGACTTTTTTTACATAACAAAACTTTTACATTTTAATCATGTGAATGGAGGACTGATATTTTACAAAAAAACAAAAAAAAATCTATCGAAATTCAAATCATATCCACCCTAGCCTGTGACCCTGCGAAGTGTCACAGGCTAGGGTGTGACACTTCGCAGGGTAACAGTGTTTTATTGCCGTTCGTAAAGTAGGGTGTATGAAGTAAGTAAGGAGAAGATAAAGCCTCTCCTCAACAACTAACTCCTATTCCAATGCTATCAACACAAGACCGCACTTATAACTCCACAAGACCACACTTCGATCTCTTACGTGCCTTCATCCTCTCATCAACAACTAACTCTTATTCCTACAGCATCTAAACATCAATAAACAAGCTTTTTAGAAGGGAGTATGTGCGAAATTAAAGGTTTCTTTATATTTAAAAAAAAAGATATAACCTATTTTATTTTTTTAAAGTTTTAATCCACAAATAAAGATTACATTAAAAAAATAAAAGTACACATTACATATTATTACCTATACAAAAGTATTTTATTTCTTTGTTTGTTGTGTGTAGGACATGATTTTGACCAAAGCAGAAATGAACAAAGAGAAGAAATAACTAAATAGCATAGGTAGGAGAAATTGATGTTTTTATATAAGTAGCCAAATCATTTCTAGATGGTTTTACAAACTGTCATCATCCATCCGGAGAAAATTAATCATGTCTTTGGATTACAGATCATTTAGTACGTTTATGTGGCCTAATTTTTGTCTCTTTTTGGAGCAATTTTTTCACCCAGCAACTCCTCTTTTTCTATTTTCGAATAAATTAACCGAGAGGGCTAATGCCAAACCAACACGTTGGTGTTTTAAGAGAATTGAAGCTATTTTGAAGAAATCTACCGCATATGCCTTCCGCTCCAAGTCCGAACGCGTACTGCTAGGCAGGCCCGTGTGTAGGGTCTGCCCCGATAAAAGCCTCGCTTTCTTTCCACCCTAGATCGCCACCGATATCGTCTCGTATGTAGCCCGCTTTAGTCCTGACGGGTGAGAACGCATGAGTTTTTCATTTATGTTCTAAGTTATAATTAGTACCTATTATTAAGTCAGTGTTAATTATATTTATTGCTATTGTTTTTGTCTTTCTCAAAAAATAATTAAATTACCAAATAAATTATAAGGTGTTTTTAATATACATCAAATGTCTGATAGAAATGCAAGTACATATTATGCTAAACTTTAAAATCAAAACCTAATTTTAAAACATAGACTAATCGATTATAACTCCTTTAACTTTAAAATAAGTTAAGTTCTTATTAATGGTATTTATCCCAGTTTATGATGCATGTAAAGAATAAATAAAGCTAATCGTATATCGTATTTCTATTTACAGCCCCATTAATATCCACTATTCTTTTATAATTATTTTTATAAAAACGTAACCCCTACACTTGGATTTTCTCCTGTATCGCGGAGGCAGCTTGCAAACGTAAATTGCACAAGGACACACATCCAGACCCCAAACAATTATTTGTAGGATATACAAATACATGTTCCGTGCGGGATTCAAACCCGCGGCCCCTGGCACAGCTACTCATTGCTAAGCCACTGTGCCACGGAGCCGTCGTTCGTCCGCACATTGGCTCGAACCGAAGTAAACTGAACGACCTTCCAACGTGTGGACGCCGTCACCAACTCTCGGCCAATATATTCGCCACTCCATTCGCCAATGTGTCGGCCAACGTGTAGAGACGACATAAGGTGAGCGTTAGTGCCCACTTAGGAATGACTAACTCTTGTTGATGACGACTCCAGTAGTGTAAGGATTAATGTCTGCTAGCTTAGCTGCTAAAGCGCATATGTGATGACCCTAACTGTTTACCACCATATGATTGGGTCGGTGCCTACTAGCTTAGCTACTAAAGTGCGTTAGCGATAACTCCAGCAGTGTGAGGGTTGTCCTTCTAGCTCAGCTGCTACAGTGTGCGATGACCCTAGCAGTCGCGCATGGCTCACCACATGAAAATGTGCGTGCGCATTGCTCACTCTTGCTTATACTCTCCACTCAACTCCCGTTCGCCTCACCCGATCACACTTTTCGTGACGCTTTCGCCACGCGTTCGCTAGCTTACTCCCCAAGTCAAGCGTGCGTAAAGAAGTTTTACTACAATAAATTTCCTAGTAAAGACTACTTTAAAATTATTGGAGTAACAAGCAAACTAACAAGTCCAGCAGATGGTAAGTGGATGTTGTGGCCCATAGATATCTATATTTATCTTCGTTTAAGAATCAAAACGCAGATGCGTTGTCACCCCTGACGACTAAGATTAAATGTTTCGTTTCCAGTAAAAATGGTCTCCGGATCTCTACACTCACCATACAAACACAGCAGTATTAAGCTGCTATTTTACGCTGGTATTCTGTGAGAGCGTGGTCTTTTCCCGGTCGAGCCGACCTATTCGTGCTACAAACATAATATAGTTGCAGCGTGGCTCTACCACGTATAAAAATCCTCTACACTCACCATACAAAACAAAGCACAGTTCTGAGCCACATGCATCAATCGACTTCCTGCATCTCTCACCAGGCCACTCCGTCTAACGTGAGTACACCTTAAACTTTACTCACCGTTACGAAGCTGCCACTCGAAAACCTTTCTTCCCCATCGGTTGTCCGTTCTTCGAGTTATATGGCCGGCCCATTGCCACTTCAGCATACTGATCCGTTGGGATATGTCGATTATTCTGAAACTACTGCGAATATACTCATTACGTAGACTTAACACCGTGTTAATTTACTTTTAACTGAAGGTTACCTTTGTCTTTTAGATCAACGTCGTCGGACAGGTCCCGGGAGCGATCGGTCCCGTCGGACGAGGACTGCAGCGGTCACGAGGAGGAGCCCCGGCGTCCGCCTGATAGTTTCCTGGTCTGCGTTCACAATGTCTCGCACGAAATCCCTTACGCCATACTCAAGGTCAGTAAAAGAAAGCAAATAATAAAGAAAATAAATAATAACACATTCGTTTCTACTTAGTTTGAGCACGACATTTTATGCATTCCATTCTTCGATCAATAAAGACGTTTCCCCTAGCGAAAGACCTTGAGCGTTCGGTCCTATACAATCCACGCGCTCTTGCTACAATATATCGCGTAAAAATACGCCCGAATATGTGTAATTATTTCAATTGAAAAAGATAAGCGAGCTTAAGAAATTAAATAAAACGTGTAGAATATAGATTTTTAAATTATCTATCCACTAGTGTAATCCTCAAATGATAAGAGCGTTTCCTTTAGCAACAGATGCATGTAATCAATAATTTTTAGTCATTTTTTAAAAGTAAATTTTAAATGTATTTATAACACATAAAAACATGGAACGTGGAATGTGATGATAGGATATCGAACATTAATAATGTGCTTTTAGATGTTGCTTATTTCTCATAACTAATGAGATAATAGGCTCTGAAAAACGCACTTTTGCAAGGTTTTGGTCAGGTCAGGTCGCTCAAATGGCCACGTTTGCACACACGAACCTAAACATCTATGATTCTTACTATGAAATATAGAAAAGGATGAATAATATTAACAACTTCTGTTTATTATTAACCTTATCACTCAAAAATAAAGTTAAAATATCATTGCAAAATATGTTTATTTAAATCCTGTCATTGAAGAAAGATGTCGCTTGAAAATAAAAAGTCATAAGTACACAAATATGTGTTCTAAAATGAAACTTAAAGTCTAAGGTTAAAAATATTATGTTAACAATTTCCTGGTTACTCCATTTTATTCTTGGTATTACATGTTTGTTACAATAGTTGGTGAGTTGTAGCAAACACCGGTCAAACAATCATAATATTAGCTAATTGAATTATATTTACTATTTAATTATGTTTTATTTACACTTAATGATAAAAACTTACTGTAAAAAATTAATTATTTCCAATATCTTGGTGCTATGGTGCTTATTTATACAGTTTTTAAAAGCGCACTGCGGTATTTTGACGTCTTAACATTGGCTATGATTGGACCATACTAATTTGAAATAAGACCACAAAAGCATTTGTGGTCTTATTTTTCGGGCTGTATTTTTGAAACGTTTATCGGGAATCTAGTATATTATTGATCGAAAATAGTACCTAATAACAACATTTATACGTCGCGTCGGCATCATCGAATGACACCAGGGCGGTTGAAAAATGGGTGAAAAATTTGACATATTTCATAGCTAGAAAGTTCAACTGTTAGGTAATTAGTTTTTTGTTAAGTTAATGTATTTTATAAAATATTTAGATTAAAATGGATAATCAAAACTACGAATATTAAAAGTAAAAGAAATGAAAAAGAATCGAAGCATTGTTTTGTGTACATAAGCAAGGTACACAATACACTAAAACCGAAAAACTTTTATTTGAAAAGAAATTTTCACTTAAAGTATTCCTTTAAGTGAAAATTTCGTTTGTGTATCAAATAATTACAGCTCAATCACCATAAGCGACAACTGGTGAGCGGAAAATTATTAGCCCTCGTTAACTGAACTTTGTCGTAAAATATAGTAATAAAATTAAAATCTTTAGATCTGGTAGGAGGCATCTTGAATCAACTCGGCCATATGTTTGACATGACTTCCTTTTTTTGAATAGATAAAATACTACGGACTTCCATTTGGCGAGATCCTGACACAACTCTCTCGCCTCCCTAACATCCATATATATATCTACGCATAAATGCTCGTTGGTTAAGGGTACTCTTCATTTGGCTCACCTTCAATATATTTGGACGATGAACTTTCATCTAGAGCGTTCCTTTCCGACTATTCCGTTCACTCTTGCAACATAAATTTGCTTTGTCGCTCTTTTCTCATACATTATTTCTACATGACCAAACCACCGAAGCATTCCTTTCTTAATCCTGGTCACAACATCATCTTGCAAATTACACTTTTCTCTTATCACACAATTTCTCACCCTGTCATTTAGATTCAGCCCTAACATACACATGACTGCATTAATACAGCATTTATTCTACTCTCATGCTTTTTTTGCCACACCCAACATTCACTACCAACCTTAGCGTAGGGACTGCCACAATATTGTAAATTCCTTTTTTCTCTTTTTTTCTTTACACGAGGAAGTGTCTACGCATACCCGCATCTTGGGCACAAGGACGGGTTATGTCGCAACTACCGCTGCGTATTGGCAGGACCGCGGAATACTGGACATGACTGCTCTAAGTCAACTTATTTTACTTCAGGTGCCTCTGACAGCCACGGCGTCCTACGTCGTGTACCAAGCTCTGACTAAAGCGAGATGCCAGGACGATCCGAAAAGGTAAGAGCAGGTCTCCCTTCTTATTCTTCAACGGCGCACAAATAGTCCAATGCTTAACATGAAACTATCCATAATGATGCTCAGTTTACACGCTTGCTGAGTCTTAACAAGCTTCCATAAGTCCAACAATGACTCACAAATGCTAGGCTCGCATTAGAGAGTCATTTACATGCTTATGAATGTGTCAGTGTGCTCTGAATAAACAAACATGGCGGACGCAGAATTAGTTTTTTTTTTATAAAGAGAAGAGGGGGCAAACGAGCATACGGTTCACCTGATGTTAAGTGACTACCGCAGTGCATGAATAACCGCAACACCACGGGAATTGCAGGTGCGTTGCCGGCCCTTTAGAAAGGAGTAAGCTCTTTTCTTGAAGGTCCCCAGGTCGTATCGGTCCGAAAAAATCGCCGGTTTAGTTTCGGCTATTGCGTTTCATCAGCATCATTATCATCATTACCTTCACAAGTCAACTGCTGAACACAGGCCTCCCCCAAGTAATGCTACAAAGCACAATCTTGAGCCACCTGCATCCATCGACTTTCTGCATGCCTTATCAGGTCGTCACTCCATCTAGTGTCATCATTATTATTTCTTTTTAGCTTTAATTCTCTTACTGACGTTTGAATTAATTCGGCAAAACGGCTCTAGACATCTGCTACTTTCTTTTAATCTTTATTATTGAAAAAAAAAATATTGGAATCCAGATGCATGGTTCCACTCATTCATTACGCTCTGTAAATCCACTGTGAACATAGGCCTCCCCATTTTTTATTTTTTAAGTACTACCGGAAGGATGCAGCTGCCCACCTCTTGTTTTAATTCCCGTGCACTCATGGTTCACTCTGGTAATATTCCAGAAAGGATACAGTTTCTTCGTTTGACCAGCTACTCATTTTGCGATCGAGGATACGCAATAGGGCGAAACACGGGTCGCGAGATCACAAGCGCATTTAGTAAGGATCAAACTTGCAAGAGTTACAACAATTTTGTACTTCAATCTCTATCAAGTCGCAGGATTAAACTTAAAACAAATTACTAAATTTGCAGCAACAGTAGCCTAATGGCAGGGTGCGAACTTCGAACTCAAAAGGTCGTGGATTCGATTCCGCCATTCGGCTGCTGTCGTGAATCACTTCTAACACAAGCATTTTAAGCTTACCGGGAGTGGTTAAAGAGAATATTGGTAATGTTGATAGCATTGCCAGAATTAAAAAAAAAACTGTCGTTCCAATAAGTTCTATCAATTCCGCAGGTTCGTTCTGGTTGAGGAGCTGGAGTGGGGTGGCAGGGCCGGCACTGGGCCCCAGCAGCGCGCGCTCGCTGATGATGAAGTAGTCTACGCGACACAGGTGAGGAAACATACAGCTTTATTTATTTTACTTGATACATAAAGCATACAGTCGAAACATGATATAAAAACCTTTGGTAAATCCAAATGTGCATGCATGTGAAACTCCCTGGACACTAAATTTTATGAAAATCGTTATATATACAAGAATTGCTCGTTTAAAGATATAGGACAGGGTATAAAATATAAATATAATAAATCCTACTTACTTTTAAAGTAACAATATGTTGTAATGTAAACCTGTGATTATGTGGCCGTAGTAGGAAAAGGGGAGATCTCCCGCCGGGCAAGGTGTTCTGCCCGGGGAGCGGCCAACACTCCGTGTGATAGTTCGGAGATGTTCTATATATACTGTTTATGATTCGGAATATTGATAGCGTGATTTAGGCTTCAGTGTGTTTCGCTTGCGGCGCGACGACAGCGCCGCCACAATTATAAAAATAATAAATCTTACCTTGGTCAAGTATATATAAAATTTGGTTTTTGGAATATTTTGTATTTCTACAGCGATCGATATTTTTCATCACGAACCGCTGTAAACAAACGATACAGTAACCCACGACTGCGGCCGAACCCGGAGTGAGTCAAAGAGTATCTGTATTTAGTAAAATATATTATTACAAGGCTGCTCAAACTGAACACCGACAGTTTCGGAATTTCTCAGCCAAAAATAATTAATTAATAACTAATAAAAACAAAATTAAACAGCCATTTACATACTATGACTTCCCACATGATATATGAAGTGATTAAAAAATTGATTGAGTTGAACAATTCATATTTTCAAAAGTTACGTGTTTACTCCACACACGCACATTCTTTCACATTAAATAAAATCGGTGTTAGATTGTCGAAAACAATGATCGTTGTTTACAAAACAAAGAATTTGTCTTCTCGCCCGCTCGTTGATTAAAGGAGTTACTGAGAATCTACCGTAATGCAATGCTAGGGCCGCAGACGGTCAACGCGCGAAATCATACTCACGCGCTGATTGGCTCTCCAGTCACATTCCGTCCCCCGTATTGATACGATATTCGCGGCTATCCCCTCCACATTTCGTTCAGCGCTAGATTTGAGTGCTGCGAGTTGTAGTACACATTGAAGTATTTGCCCTAAAAACATTGTACTGAACATATAGAGAACTGTACGCTGGAGGGACGCTTTGAAAAACGTCATTGTAACTAAATGCCACGTCAGTAATATTCTGAAGATGTTTGAGTTTGCTGCATAGAGTTTTCATTAATAAATTAATGATATAATCATGACAACAAGTCTATCAAGAAATATACTGCTAAACGTAAGCCTCCCCTATAGAATGCCTCATACTCATCTCAACAAACTCATCAATATTTGCCATTGTAGCCACGCTTGTCAGACAATGTTGACAACTGCAAATTTTTATTATAGAATTGTTGTCAGGGAAAATCTACAGTCCATCTTCTGTGTCGGTTTCCCTACGTCACCTCTGACGACACCCACGGAAGGATAGTTACCACCCCCACTTCACTACCTTACATAAAAGTAAAGTTAGAGCCTATATACGTCCCACTGCTGGGCACAGGCCTCCCCCCATTTCTGAGAGGGTTTTGGCAAACTTCACATGTCTTCGAAATATATTTTTTTCTTATTCCTCAGACATGCAGGTTTCCTCACGATGTTTTCCTTCACCGCCGAGCACGTGGTATATCAGCACTTAAAATTGTAATTAACAATTTCATTGATGCCGGCGCGGATCGAAACCGGGTTACTCGCGTTCTGTTATATTTACAGCGATCGTTAACCGTCTGAGCTACCACGGCTCACATTACATACTTATCTTATTTTCAGGCAAGTTGGAAAACCCTAGGTAGGTTCGTTCTACAAGAAAAAGGCTCAACAGTTCCAGTCCCAAGGCACAGAGCTGCTATTGCAAGGATACAACGAGGCTTGAGTATGACCAGAGGAGCAATTACAGGTAATTTAAGTTTATATGTGGTAGAGCCATTCTGCAGCTATGTTACGGTTGTAGCACGAGTGTGTCAGCTCGACCGAGGAAGGACCACGTTCTCATAGAATACCTGCGTGAAATAGCAGCTTATTGCTGCTGTTTCATATGGTGACTGTACATATCGGAAGACCATTTTTACTGTGAACGTGGCATTCCATGTTTGTCTAAGGGGTGACATCTGTATTTTTATTCTTAATTGAGGACAGATGGACATGTCTAATGACCACAGCATACACTCACCATTAGGCGGACTGTGTGCTCGATTGTCACACAATAAATTTAAAAAAACTAGCCCACTAATACGTGGTGATGGATTAAATTATACGTGTAGTGGCGGTGTAAGAATATCCACTACACCATAACATCACATAGATGTTGTAGGAGGCGACAGAGGGAAACAAATCAGGAGATTGGTAGCAGAGTCTAGACTCACCATACGAGTCGTGGGAACTTGAGACCCTTTTTTACTATAAAGAGGCATTCCATCTTAGTCTTTAGACGTGAGAACGTATCTGCATTTTGATTCTTAATCGAGGATAGATGTAGATGTCTATGGGCCACAGCATCCAATTACCATCAGGCGGGCTGTATGCTCGTTTGCCACCCTTATTCCATAATAAAAAGGCATTCTAAAAACTTTGACTGTTATTTCGATTGCAGGAAGCACTTTTCCATTGGCTGGTCTAAGCTCGAGCGACAGTGCTGTTGGGGAGGGCAAGGCTCCCGTGCAAGCCGCTTACAGCGACCCTACACATTGCAGGTGATTCCTTATTCTCGAATTTTGTTAACAAAATTAGGAATGTCAGAGTCTCTTGTTAAGTTTTTGATGCCCTTAGGTTCTTGTAGCAAATGGTGCCCTATTTTCTCATTTTATATTGGTTTTTATTTGAAGTGAAGCAATTTTCGGCTATCAATTTACATAGTTGTAAATAAAAATATGTGCATAAAACACTGCTGCAGGGACTGTAGCACCGCTCAAATTTTGAAGGAAACAAAAGCTTTCTCATAGACCATAAACGCAAGACAGAGTAGCAGATTGTATTCTTCTGTACAGTTTACCGAAATGCATTATGTGATCAAGACTTTAAAGCTTTATTGGAACTGCTTTATTCGGGAGACCGGAAATCGTCAGGTCTGCGCGTCTGAGACGATACTTAATGACTCAAAAACAACACGTAGATGTAGCCCATAAGGAAGATCGTAGTTCTTTAAGAGCGTTAATGCCTTTTCATCCCTCCGGAATAGCATCACCATTGTGAAATAGTATTGTATAATATGGTCCTTCGAGCAGGATCATTAACTATTCAGCGCTCTTAAGGTCTATTTTATATACCTCGTTGTTTTAGTGGTCATCATCGCGGCTGCTGATCATGAGGCGGTGGATCGGAATCCCGGGTCGTTCTAAAATGTTTTATTGGGTTTTTCTGTCAAGAAATTCTAGTAGTAGCCCTAAGTCAGAAAGTTGGTGGTATTTCATTCACACCATGTCTCGGAAAGCCTTTGATCCTGTGCCTGGTCTATTCTCCGGTCGTGTTGGATTCCCGTCCCATTGGACTATGAGAGTGAGGCACTAGAGAGTTCACCTGTGCTTGCGCACACACTCGAGTGCTATAATCCTGTCCTGCGCAGCGACCGAAATTCGGTCTGGAAGACATTATTAATATTATCATCTTACCTATATCTGCCACTAAGAAGCAGTGCGTGCTCTGTTCTGGTCTGAAGGTTAAAGAGATCCAGTATAATTACACGCTGTTAGGCATTCCATCTTAGTCCTCAGAGGTGACAACACATCTGCAGCCTTCTTCGTTTGAAGTTAGCAGCAGTTGTCCACGGACTGCGACAGTGACCACTTACCATCAGGTGGACTGTAAGCTCGATCGTTACTTCGGTTTTATAAAGCAAATGGTAAAATTAAAAATTTTGTACAACTGACTTCAATATAAATAAAATACTATATACAAGCATTATTAAGGATAACTCAAAAACTACTGCTCAGATCTTGATCAAATTTATATGGGACCAGTCAACAGTTTAGTATAGAATAGAATAGAATAAAATATTTTTTATTCAATATAAATTACATTTAATTGTTATAGAAAGTAATTTTTTATTTTACTACTGGTTCAGCAAAAACCTCAGTCTTGGGAAGAATTAGCAAGAAACCCAGCGGGACTTTTTTCTTAAGTAAATTATAGAATAGGAGAGGTTGTACAAACTATTTACAAAATTTATTGTGTAAACACCTTAGAAGTGACTAGACTAGATTAGGCTAGGGGTAATTATTAACCATGTATTCATTTATATTATAATAATTTTTATACAGTTTTTGTTTAATAAAATAATTAAACTTGGTAATAGAGAGTTTGTATACTTTCTGAGAATGTATACAAGCAAATGTATTTTAATAGCGTATACATTGCTCTAAAAATGAATTACTGACTCTGTGGAGTATCACAAGCTTGTGTTTGTTCCTAGTGTTTACAAAGTGCGAATCACCTTTACATATTTAATTAAAGAAAGCTTCGTACCACCATAGTGTGGGAATTTCTGAAATAGGAAGCTTTTAGACATAAATTGTGTAAGACCAACCCAAACTCGAAACAAATTTTGTTGACCATGTCATGGTTAACTCGATGACCGAAATTGTGGCCCATAGAGCTGTTGCCAAACGCGTTGACGAATAACGAAGTGAATCGCAACTTACTCCCGAGTCTCATTTAATTTATAAAACAAGATTCTATATTAACATGGGTAATTCTTTTCTTCCCTTCATAGAAGGGTATCCATGTCACCCCTTGGAAAGGATATTGGAAGAGCGAAGGGGCACTCGGATAGAGACATCAGATCCTTCATGCAAAGGAGGGCCGGTTCCAGAGAGGTAAGACTCTTAACCAAGCATATATCTCTATTATATTAAGTTCTATTAATTACTTTAGGATCTTACACCGTTACCGTTATAGCCTCTTAAAGTCCACTGCTAAACACACATAAATGCGGCGCTTGGCAAACGGGCTGGCAATCAATAACAGCTAAATAAAATTTATTTTTGAAGTAAAACTTCTTTACGCACGCTTGACTTGGAGAGTAAGCTAGCGAACGCGTGACGAAAGCGTTACGAAAAGTGTGATCGAACGAGGCGAACGGGAGTTGCGTGGGGGATATAAGCAAGAGAGAGCAGTGCGAGCGCACATTTTCTTTCTCACTTTCTCTCATAGCCAGTTAGTTTTAGTAATTTTATTTTGATTTGAACAATTTTATGAATTAATATTTTGTTCAATAAATAAAAAAGTACGCGTCTGTCCACAACTTCTAAAAGCTTTTTACTTTTTGTTGCTATTTAGTTATAAACTTCAGGGTTGGACAGATGCGCCAAACTGTCCCAACCAAAATGCCATTTTGGTTGTAAAAAAGTTTTACTACAGTCGTGTGGTCATGAGCACACTCGTTTTGTTCATTCAGCTCATCAGGAAAATGACGCTGCATCTCCTGGTTCAGTTTGCCCCTGTCGCCTCTTATGGCATCTACGGAATGATAGTTGTTTGAATTTTTTAATTAATGAAGTGAAAGCTTCTTTAGAATCGTTGTCGACACTAAAATGAGACAAACATATACATTTATAGGGTTTAGCCTGCGAGGGAAGGAAATAGTATACAGTATACAGTGTTTCCTATAATCTCGATATCTTTTTCTAAAAGTCTCAATTCTACCGTGTATCAACTGCACACATGTTTTTTTTTAATATTTTAGGTCCATTCAGAAGGCGAATCTTTAGGGGCGGAGGCGATTGCGGCACAGATGGCACGATTCAAGAGAGTATCTTTAAGGAAACTCCGCGCTTGGCGATCCTGAGTGTGGCAGGTATAGTGGGTGAATAGTATAGAATGGCCCAGGCGCGAATCTGTAGGAAAAGTTTTGAGAGTAGTTAGAGATACACATAGATATACATGTATTCAGCAACTTGACTCATACAAATTTCTTACAAAAAATGAAATGAAAACATCAAAGACAAAATTTTATACGAGAAAACAGACATAAAATAATCCGAGTAGTTTATTTTGAATGAAACTTTGAATTTTTTTTAATGTAGAATAATGGTGACAAGCGAGCATACAGTCTATCTGATGATAAGTGGATTCAGAGGCCCATAGACGTCTATATCTGTCCTCGATTAGGAATTAAAATGCGTTGTCACCCTTGAGGACTAAAATGGAATGCCTCGTATTCAGTAAAAATGGTCTCCGTTTCTCTACGCCCACCCTCTAGTCAAAACACAGCCACATTAAGCTGCTATTTTACACTGGTATTCTGTGAGAGTGTAGTCCTTCCCCGGTCGAGCCTACCCATTCGTGCTACAACTATAATATAGCTGCAGCGTGGCTCTACCATGTAAGAAGTTTGGAGTAAGGGGCAACGTAATACCTTAAAAATATATTATGGTGGTAATGTGGCCTCATGGCTTTTTATATATTCCGCTCATTTATAACTTTGCTTATTTTAATTCAGTGTTTTTTAAATTCATCCATAATAATACAATACAATAAATTAACAATCACGAAAGATAGTCTTTCTCTTTCTTTTCTCAGTTTATACTGACTGATACGCCCTAGAGCTGTATAAAACTATTGATGCTATCGCCTGGCCCAGCGTGCTGAGTATGGCTGAACCCTTCGCATATAACCTTTAAGTTCTTAAATTAATCATAACTTATATTCAATTAAATTAACCAACAAAGTGTATACAATCCAACTTTGGTCACATACTACCTTACAATTCATTGGTAAAATTTTCGCACTTTATCTAAAAGTAGGTGGTGATCAAAACACCTAATAGCCGTTAATATATTTTCCTTGACAAAATCATAAGTTGGCACATAGACACATTGACACATACGGGTAAGCGTCTGACCTGCTGAAATGATGATGATGATGGATTATTACCATTCAAATCTAAAACAAAATCTTATTAATACTTACAGGTACTACGCCGGCTTGGTACCAGGTTGGCAAACCACCGAGCGTCATTGTCCTCTGAGCTGGGCTCCCTCTGGGATTTCATACGAATTGATAAAGATAGGCGTCGATCGGCACCCTCTACTACTTACGAATCCATTGACTCCAAATCTCCCGTCAGACTGGCAAGGGATTTACTACAAGTCGTTCAGGAGACTGTATTTTCTAAAAGACTGGACGAAACCCCCAAAAGATGTCCATTGGTTAAAGAAGAATCGGACCTTACAGCATCTGATGAAGAAGAAGGAACGGACAAAAGGATCGCGAATCTTATAGACTTCTTTTTTACAATTGTCAAAAGTCAAAAGGAAGATAGAAAAAGTAGCGGCGGAAGCTGCTTCAAGAGTGAAGTGAGTCCTGAAGAAGAGGAGAAGTTGATTCCAACTCGTGTTAACACAGAATTGGAACAAAAGATGGAAACCCTAATGGAGTTCTTGGCAACAACTGGTTGCATGGAAAACGAGAACGATGGAAAGGACGACAAAAAGATTACACTCATGGAATTTCTTTTCGCGTCGGATGAAAGAAAATGGGACAACCCGTTGATTGAATTGAATGGAAAGGGAATCAGTTTATCCGAATCGAACGTGAACGTTCAAAATCTTTCTTTTATCGATGAAACACCGGTGGAAGATGGAAATGAGACATTAGTCGAGATGCTTTTAAAATATATGGAACATTATGGCAGCAAAGAGAAATTCAAAGATTCTAATGTATCGACGTCTGTGACTCCATCACTATCGGAGAAGTCAAAATCTGATATGACAATCAGTAAGCTGGAAACGTTCAGTGATGTAAGTAAAACGAAATCCGATTCGACATTAACACAAACAGAAGATACCGTGATTGATCGAGGTGACGATCTGCGCTCAGGGAGATCAAGTAGAAGGATTTCAGAAACAGTCGTTGACTTGAGTTTTGTTAAAGAAGACTTAGAAAGTATATTCGAAGAAGCTGTTTTACGCATTAGCGAACTAAGAATGATGTACGAAGACGACACAATGAGCGAGCAAGAAGATTTAGAAAACTTTAATGCTTACACCAATCCACCAACACTACAATACGTACAATACTTACCTTATAGTATTGAACTGTCTGATATAATGGAAGAAGATGAGCCATCTTCTAGAGGCTTAGAGCGGATGTCGTCAGAAGAGGATCGATTTGCATACGTTAAACAACTTGCAGAAGATGTAGTGCGTTATATAGAGGAGAAAATTAAGAATTATCCATTTCGCGAGGATAACGATGATAGTTCCGGGCCGTCCACAGAAGACTACAGCAGAGAATATGAACTTAGCACGAGATCCATAAGTCTAATAGACCTAAGAAATATACCAGATTTGCCACCAAGTATGATTATCAAGCCTAAAGTACTGAAATTAGATAGATCTACATCGACTACGGAAATTTCTGAATCAATATCTGAACTATCGAGAAGGATCGATTCAACTTGTATGACAGAAGAAACAACATTAACCATAAGTTCAGAAAGAAACGAGAGGGTAATAGACAAAATCGAATCATTACACAAATTCTTTTCCAAATCACGCTTAGAGATTATCGATGAGAGCATGGAAGATAATGGCGACAGAATGAAAAGTCCGAAAGAAGTTTTTCGGAGTTGGAATAATTTAAAAAATGAAAACATGGACTATAAAGAGGGACAAGCCAGTTTAGACGACGTGGAAGACATATTAGACGACAATGAAACTGTTAAAATAGATAGCAACGATGATAGTGGAATTGATGGTGGTGCCAAGCAAACTGTCAACGCAGATAAATAAAACATGAACACGTATTTAAATTTGGAGAAAACTTTGTAAAGTTTTAAATATTTTTGTCAATCTGTAGTAAAAAGTTAAGTGTAAAAGTATTCTAAAAGCCCTAAATATATTAGATTTGTTATTCTCGTGAATAATTTAAACTGCATTTTTAATGTTGCTAACATGTATCAAAAGTAAAACAAAACCAACAAGCTATGGTTTCTAGAAAATATATAGTCTGGATAATTTCTTGAACTTTGTATTCCAGACTTTCTTAGCATAATGGGCAACTTTCTTCTACTCTTGTTTAAGGAAGCATATTGTTAATTTGAAGTTACGGTTAAGGTAGAAATCTAGGTAAAATAAATAATACTCAACTCCTGACTAAGCTGGATTTTACGGTCGTGGTCAGACCAAAAAAGTAAGGGTTGGCTTTTTGTGATCCCCACCAGATTCGTCATTCAGGTTTGAGTTGCCGTATTTAGGTCATTTAAGGTAAAGATAAGAGGAATCCTTATAAATATCTAGACAGTCTTTTCTATTTTAGTGCCTGGCAATCCTAGTGCTTGTAACATGGGTGCGTTTGGCAGAAAAAAGCGCTAGCAAGCGCTTGTAAGCAAAATGGCGATCGTAAGCGGTAATCGTTGTCAAATCGTAAGTAGCTATTTTCCTACGACACGAAGTTAATTTTAACCGGGAATCTAACCTAATTTAAATATATGTTTGTAAAGTATTCATATTAAAAAATTACCAATCATACATTTTTAATAACATGTATATGTTTTTAATAACATGTACATGTGTATTCATGTCATTATATTACTTAAAACTAATATTACACAAAACAACCTATAAACTCTACTTCAATACAATCAAATTAAATAAGCAAAATGGCGGATTGTGTCAGCGCTACTGAAGTTAGCAAACGTGTCGTGGCCGAAAACTGTTTAGTTTCGCCATTTTGCTTACAAGCGCTTGCTAGCGCTTTTTTTTGCCAAACGCACCCATAGATACACTATACACTTTCTGTACGGATGCGATATAAAACGCACAAAAACAGTTACTTACTCTAATATCTTTTGACCTACAAATAAAATATATATAAAGTCTTATTTAAACTCAGGTGCCAACGTAAATTTACACTGAAAGCTAAGATTTACGGATATATATATATATATATATATATATATATATATATATATATATATATATATATATATTATAAACAATAAAAGCACAAAAGGTTACATATCAACATACTTTAAAATATCTTCATTCTAATAAAATTACTCAATACGTCATAAAGAGAATACCTTCACATTCATTTAAATATTTGAAAAAGAACTAGTTTCTAAACAAATATTCCAAGATGGCTACCGCGCCATACGAGTCGATGAGATTCGAGAACAAATAGTGAGATTTTTAAATATAAATAATTATTAACTAAATAGAACTATTATAGTGAGTGTTAAATTAATTGAAAGGTGTATTTATAGCAAGTTGAATTTATACTTGAATTATATAACCTATGAAATGAGAATTTTATACTATTAATGTAAATAAATATAAGTAAATGTGAAAATATTTTAAATTTGTTCAATTTTGTATAATAAATAATTATATTTTATTTACTAAGAAAAAATTAATATTTTCGGTATACGATTGCGATCGCTGTTGCCGGCATTATAGCTGATAGTCAGAATTATTAATTCATCATCAGCGGTGAAGAAAACATCGCGAGAAGTTGCTTTTCGTTTTCCTTTAAATATGCGTGACATTAACAAATCCTTTAACAGCATTAAGCTGTAGTATACAAAGACCTATATATACTACTGGACGGGCTCTGCGGCCTTAATAGATTGCTCGCTATGTTATGGTTAATTCTCTCTTTGTTTTTGTTAACTTCTAACTGCTAACTAATTCGATCTTTGTTTTGTTAACCGCAACAGAAACAGAAACGTTGTTTTCATCAATCTAACATTGATTTTGTTTAGTGCAGCTAAGAAAACGCTGTCATTATTTATATGTGCACATTGTCAAGGTGATTTGAAGGTTATTCCAGAAAAGTATGTAACTGTATTTCTTAACTATTTATATAACAGTAATGTCGTAAATGAAAACACAACTGCGTGTAATATATACCGTGACACTTACCCGCTCGCCATTCTACAGCTGTGACAAAGTTTCTGTTCTATTTACCGATCTGGAAGTATACACAGAAGTCTTTGGTAGTGTTGCGCGCCATAATTAATGCCTGGTTCATGAAGGTTAGAGAACAGGGAACGATCGCCGTAGAAAATAGTGTCCCAGAAATATGGACCCATAAGTGAGGCACTGCGATCGCTAAGTTCGGTCAATAAAAGTCGTTTTCAGTCTATTTTTCCGATCAGATGCTAAACCACTTGCACATCCACGCACAATAAAATATTTCTCCATTTTTTAATGTTTCTTTTTGTCCAAAATTACAAAATTACGGAGCATGAAAATTCTCACCTATGCCGCGGAGAAAATTTGTACATTATTCAACTAACTTCATCTACTTGTACTCATAAACAGCTAACTTCGCAGTTACTACTCACCGACGTCAGCGCCGCTATAATTCTACAATTTTCAAGGACAGGCGGGCTATGCTTTAGTACGTAGTGATCGTTCTCCTATTCTATAACCTTCATGGTAGAAGCTTAAAGCTTAAAGCACTATAGCTACGGGCTAAATTTTAAAGAACGCGCCGAAAAATATTAGTGGGATGGATGACTTTTTCGAGGTTATATTTACTAAATAAAATTATTTTAGATTTTAAAGCTAGTTAGCAGTTTAGCAGCACACTTCAAACCGTCGACAACTGCTAAGTTCATTTCATCCCAGTAGCTACTCCAGCGCTGTTGTGGAGAGTTTTTGAACCGTTATTTACTGTTTACAGATGGCCACTTTTTCAACTATTCTACTATGGGAGTTGGTACTCCTTACTTCTACACTCCATAGTTCTCCTGTTCTCTAACCTTCATGGCCCGGTTTATGGCGGGTGATTATTAGCGCCATCTAGTATCAAGTAGCAGGAATAGGTGCGTCAAGATCTTTCTAGAACTTTTCTACTAGCGCCATCTAGTGTCGAGGACGAGGGCTTTCTAGAGGACTCTTTGCTAGAACTTTCGACATTCTACTTTCTTTTTATGTGTGTTAACTCATAACTTTCCTCTGAGTGAACCGATTTTGATATCCTTTTTTATCTGAAAGCTGGTGCTTCTCGCGTAGTCCCATATAAATTCAACAGTACTGATCATATAATCATCATTTCAGATCATAAAAGATCTGACCAGTAGTTTTTGAGTTATCTTTAATAATGCGTATTTAATTGACTTGTAATACATTGATGATGTTCTCATTTTAATTATATTGAAGTCGGTTGTACAAAATGTTTAATTTTAGCGCTCGTCATCTTTTATAACCCAGTAGTGACACTGGCTTAACAAAAGCCCTCTCTTGGCCTAAAACACCCACATTGTAGTCGGATAGAAAGCACATTTTACATTCCTTTGCTGTACGCATTACAACGGCGACGCGACCCGTTAGATTTGAAAGTTACTTAGAAAATAAAGGGGCGGAGTGTCGCTGAGTGTCTGTTTCCCGATAGTGAAAGGGAGAGAAAAAAATAATATCATCTCTTTCTTGCGCACTTACTTAAACATGTTCCAGACGTAATCCATCGTCACAGGCTGAGCGTGGCAGGTGTGACCTTGGTGAGAGCTTGGTTTCCATTGGTTGATTGTGTCTCGGTTAGTCGGATCAAAACCAAGACGGTCGAACTTCACTGTAAATCGCGATCGCGTAGTAATAAGATATAGAAATGACTCTTAATATGCACACATTTCAAAAGGTGGGCTTTGCTTTAGCAGTTGTGTGCGCAATTGAAGACGGAAAACAAAGAAAAGAAAGTGGATGAAGCGCTGGTTAACCAATATTAATGGTTCCTTTAAAGGAACGATCAATACTCAGCCATTCAAACTTATTGAAGTTATTGGACGTGAATGGCATTCATAACTTGTTGGATTGGAACCGTGGATGACATTTTTAACCAGCATACGTGCGCACCCGTTGCTTGACGCAGCACAACTATCTTAAGATGTAATCTGTCGGCTAAACGGATGTAATCCACGCGCTCCAACTGCAAATGGGAGCCTCCTCTGTTGGGACTCTGGATAACATCCATCTGGAACATTGTTTAAAGACGCATTTATCAGAAGACCAAGAGGCTAGGAAGATTGGTTTTCAATTGAGGTCTTTCTTTTTACATTTTCTTTCCACTGTTTTTCTTCACCGCGGATCTCGTGATAAATTTGTAATAAAACGTTAATTTACACAGTTTAAATAATAAACCAGTTTTAGGATGTAAATTATGAATGGGGTCACTGAACTATTCATAATTTTCTTGCAGAAGAGCGGGAAAAAGGATGTGTTAAATTAAAATAAGTAAATGCATAGAAATCTTCATGTACACACGTTATTTAATTTTAAACAATAAAAATACATATTATGTAATTCTAATGAAAACCTGTTTGCGTATTTAATCAGTTGAGTAGTCGGGCTACTTCTGTTATCCCTCTAGAAGTAATTTCTTACTTCTATTTAGTCTGCTGCAAATCCGCCTGTGACACAGTAAAAATAAGTACACTTTTTATATTATCCCTCGTGAAACTAAAGTATGTTATTATAGTTAAATAGAAATAAAATTGTAGATGTGTCACATAATTTATGTTTATTTATTTAATTATATTCAATATTCAATGTTTCTGTTACACACATAAGACAACTAGTATTGCCGCCATTTTGAAGTGTCTAAATAAAATGTCGAAGTATCTATATAATTTTTTTTCAGCGCTTTTTACAATTATTTTTCTCGTTAAATAAATTATTTTCTGATATCTGTCTATTGCTGTCGTTTTGCGTCTTGTAGGTATGTTTTAATGTCTGGTGCCTAGCATATTGTTAATGTTTTAAATAGGTTATAATTGTATGAATAAATA